CTATGAGACAACGGATCCATGAGATGTTGCCGTCTCGGGAAGAGGCGGAGTACCTTTGCACGCAAGCTCGATTGAACGCTCTATGGCAGTGAGTTTTCTCGTCACTGTCCGATGGCAATGTGTTTATAGCAAGGTACAACCTCGACCCAAGCGAAACTTGGCTCCCGAATCTAGTCCATCACGTATACACTACGTCAATGTCAAGCCTTTCTTTCCGCCGCCTCTCTCTGCTGTTCATCATGATGGCCATTGGGCTACTTGTTGATCTTAACCAACAAAATGAGTCTCCGAGAGCTGAAGTGTTCCATCGCCTGGCACGAGCCTCCTTATGTGAGACAAATCTAATGGATGAACCTAGTTTAGATCTTCTACAGACTTTGGTGTGTTGGTCACATTATTCGACATGTGGTTGTGCTGACGAGAAGGTAGTTTTACATGATTTGGTACCTTTTGATTTTCTCAGACAAGAGTCAAGCTGTATCGTATGCATGGAGCATCATGGGACTTGCCGTGAAACTTGCTCAAAGCGTGGGTCTTTCCGGAACAGTAACTCTCCACTCGCCTAAAACATTTGTTGCTCCAGTTAGGTCTCCGTACGTCGGGCATCCATTACCGTCCTGAGATTCCCTCAACATGGATTTTCATTCATTTTCATAGACCGCGACGGCAATAGATGGAAGGTAATTCCCGAAGAGTCTCAGCGGCGACGAATGCTGTTCTGGGAACTTCTGAATTTAGATGCGCGCCTGGTTAGTTCTGATTTTCAACTGATCCCACATGTGACATGGATACTGAACCTCGAGACCCAGTCTTTATCTCTCGGTCGGCCACCATCTCTTTGCTTACAACATGTCGATTGTCGGCGACCATCTTATGCTTCAGAGGGGATGTACATCATGCCGGATGCTCAGTCATGTTGGCTGATTTATTTATTTACCTTCATACCAGAACTGATTATTCCACAGATCATGAATGGAAGCACGGGTTCTTCCTGCACTGTCTCACACCGGTCCTAGTTACCGCGATATCTGCGCAACCACAACTATATTCTAGCATTCTGGACGTTGACAAGAAAATCCGGGACTTCCACATCCCTCCCACACTCAACATATTTAACTCAGAGTGCATCACGGATATCCGACAGTTGACTATGCAGCAAGTACTGGTAGCTAGCGGGAGAGAAATTGGTGGGTTTTTACCGCGAAGGATGTGTGCCTACGCGCTGAAGCTGGACACCCATAAGTCCTACTGCAGCTTCATAGGAATTTTTTTACTGAGGCACTGAGTGACTTTGATGCTTTCACGTATCGACACAAATACGCGCCATCAGTTCTTGCAACATACCTTAGCGCCTCCCGCCTTGTTGCTACGTTAGGGATCCTGCTGCATCGTGAGCCACAACTGAGTAAACGGTTCATGTGTATCTGGTTTAATGCATTCTCTGTCGCGGTGAGTGACTCCTGAAGCTGCCAATCTGTTACATCTTGACTAGGTGTTTTGACCCAGGTTGCATTGTCATTGATCGTTTCCAGGACACCTTTCTTAAGTCTAGCGCCATTTGCGCTGAAGGAGTTGGACACTATTTACCACATTTTCGCGAACGTGGCCGAGGAATGCTCAAAGGTCGCTCAGGCGCTGGTTAGTGATGAAGATGACTTTTCGGAGATTGTTACTAAACTGGAACATAGCCTCTACTTACTAAAATCGCAGAGAAGTCACGTCGGACGTACACCCAGTGGCTCAAAACGTCCAGAAATAGCTCGACCATGGATACCGACCTGACGTCTCAAGAGTCACCGGTCAGATCAGCTGTGTGCAGCACTTCAGGGGATTGGGCGGGTCCTTTTGATGCTGCACACTCGCTCCTACAAAAAACGCTGCAGGATATTGAGACAACCGCTCCACCAACCATTCAGGAACTTCCTGCTTACTTACCTCGGCAGCTCAAGCCAGTGACAAGCTCACAAACGGATCACGCAGAGCAACCTGAAGAGTTGGGCTGTCCTCCTGACCTGTCCGCAGACATGCTCTCACTTGGTTTAGGTTTGAATGAGAATCTAGTTGATGCGACTTTGAGACATAGCGCAGACCCTTCGACCCCTGCGGGCAATACAGCTCAGAGGGTAGGGAATCACACGTTCAACTTCGATTTTGGTGCACTGGCGTCAAATGTCGAGAACCAGAACAACACATATATGTCATGGTTTTGATGCTTTGTATTCGAATAATTCAATTGAATAAGTACTTAATCCGTACGTAGATGAATGATGAGTCCACTCTCAAAATACAAACTCCCACGATTGGGATCACGGCTACGTGCTTATGTAATATTGCATTTGAACTAGCTTAAACCACGTACTGCTCAGCCTGAGTGCTATAGCTAGATCTCCTCACTGTATCCCTTCCTGAAGCTGTCCACCGCGTTGCTATACCGGAAAATTTAGCTCTTAAGATATGTCCCGAATACGGGAGGTATGGGCGCCAAATCTTGAGGCAGAAATGCGGAACATACGAGACCTGATCGACCAATACCCTTACGTTGCAATTGTGCGGCGCGTAGTCTGATGTTTCTTGCAGATGGATGCTCACAATGAAGTAGGACACAGAATTTCCGGGCGTAGTTGCACGTCCAATAGGCACTTTCAAAACATCTTCAGACTATCACTACCAGACAATGCGATGTAATGTCGACTTGCTCAAGCTAATACAAGCCGGTATCACACTCGCGGATGAAGAGGGTAATTTCCCCCAGGATGTCACAACTTGGCAATTCAATTTCAAGTTCAGCATAAGGTGCGTGTTAGAAGCCAACATTGTCGGGCATCGCATGTTAAGAATGAAACCCTAGTGAAGATATGTATGCGCCAGAATCAATCGATCTATTACAGAAGTCAGGGCTCGATTTTCAGCGTCACGAGGAGATGGGAATATTGCCGTATGACTTTGCTGAGCTCTTGATCACATCGGGTCTAGTCCTTGCGCCCGAGGCCAAGTGGATATCATTTCACAGGTGAGTCATACGATTCTTCTTCTTCTTTGACAAGTAAAGGCATCAAGTGCTGTTGAATCTTTGTCTTTGTGCTGCCATTCGGTTCTATTATCAAAACCTCTCTTCTACATTCACCTCACTTACATATCCCCTCTCTCCATATTCCAGTGGCTATGACTTCGGTTACCTGGTTAGGCTTTTGACTGCGATGTCCCTGCCGACGTCGGAAGAACAATTCTTTGAATGGCTGCGCACCTGGTTCCCTTATTGCTATGACATCAAGTTCATGATGCGTGCCTCCAAGTCCCTCAAAGGAGGGCTTCAGGAAGTTGCGGATGATCTTGGTGTGCGTGATTTCTCTTGTGATTAGTTGATCACCAGTTGATTATCAATCCATACAGGTGATGCGTATAGGAACATCACATCAGGCCGGATCAGATTCCCTTCTTACTGCATCCACCTTCTTCAAAATGCGAGAACTCTACTTCAATGATCAAATAGACGACGCCGAATATAACTGTAAGCTGTACGGTCTGGGACAGACCTTTGCAGTATCCAACGGTATCACTGATACCGGCCGAGGTGGAGCTACTATTGCTGAACGAGAGGATAGGGGAATACCAAGGGATTCACAAAACCACACTCCTGCCTTGTCTGCCCCCCAGAATCAGGGTGTGATAATGGGTATGGGAGTGCCTTTACCTACTCCAGCACTAGGTGGGGCCCTGCCTGCGCCACTACCATCTGGCACATCATATGGGCCTATGGGAGCGAATGGCCCATTCATACGGACGACAATTGGTGTAGGGGGGAGATAGCTTGCATTTCGTTTTTTTTTTCATAGGACTGTTTATGTAATTATTTCCCTTCATTGATTTTCTTCCTATTCAAATTTTTGGATAAATTGTCATTCATCCGGTATGCCAGGGCTTCATATCAACAGGCATGTGAGTACTCTACTCATCCGCTCGAACTTACAATTATCATCGGGTCTACAGTAAGAGCTACTCGCAATCTTAACAAGTCAATGATAACAATGACACAACCAAGTATAGTGCCATCATCTGTTGCGCCACCCCTATTTCGCACGAGTGGCGAGCATGGATTGTATTTACGCGCCAGTGAATGTTACCCGATAGGGCGCAGACGCCAACATTTCTGATGCCCCAAACTGTCTGCATAGCGGTCCCCCTGTTGTGAACGGTACCATTGACCTCGCTAGAGCTTCTTAGACGGCATGGGCGTCACTGCGACATACTTGTCATGCTGCCAATGCTTTGTCCACGATGAGACGAGTGGGGGTTCGCTGAAGGGGTTGTACAACAATCCGCTTCCCGTGGATCGACGTCGCAGTCATCCATCGCAAGAGTATACAACCAACCTCGTCATTATCAAACGAGGGTCAGCAAGTGCACTCGTTGCGTGGGGCCACGACGCCGATGCAGGTGAAAGAATAATTGAAACAGCCTTTGAGCTCACAGTTTCTCGGAATTCAGGTCTGTAGTGGAGATGTCCAGTGATTGGGGGTGTTGTAGGTGGTCAGCGACAACGGGTGAGCTCTTATACAAGTCCGAGTGGCACAGGTCTCCCGTGTATCCGCTAATTTTTGACGCACTTCGATCAGATAAGTCACTGCAGCTTCCGTGTGCCCAAGTAGAAATAGTTATGGAACGTTCAAATCTGAATTGTAAGAACCACAGATCGCCATCGAGGTATATTGCACATGAGCCTGCGGAGAACATCCGCATCTCACCGCGGAGCCAACTCGCATCCCGACTTAGGAATATACACCGTATTGGTGCCCTTGTTTTCTTTGCAAAACACATGATCCTTCTATGCGTGAAATGTACGTCTTCCGACTTCGGAATCCCATTTATTTGACACATCCGTGCAGAGACAGTTCTCCGCAATCACTATCGATACTTATTTGAAGCTCCAACATTAGTCTCCGAGCCAATTTATCAGTGCTGAGGAAAGCGACACACTGCCAAAGATGCAGAGTTGACAGCTCTTCTAGAAGACAGGCCTTCAAAGGCAAGCAGGAACAAGGTGGCGTATTTCAGGTACTTGCTGATTTCAACATCTTCAATCTGATATATGCACTTGAACCCCTGATTGCATCTGTCTAGATATGTTTTTTTTTATTTTAGAAAAATCCAATTTATTATCCTTCGGGGTCGAAGACCCTGTGTCGGACATAACCTTATACACGGGGGGCTTGTCCAGATATGTTAATATCCGGTCAGTCAGCGAAATCAATAGCTTGCTCCTGATGCCAGGGCTTTGGTAACTATCGTTTGTTTAGCCTTATCCTCTGATGGCACGGTCGGCCGCAGGTAATTCTTTTTTAGATCCAATGCTTGTCTATTAACAGAAGATATTCATAATCCTTCTGCACTAGGCTTAAGAGGGTTCAAGTTGCCCCCCTGAGAAGATCTAAAAGTTTTTTTGATTGCACACTTCCAGCAGCGTGCAGGCCTGGTCATACTGTGGCGGACTACTGTCAAATGACAAATTCGTCAAGACACCGTCTACCTACGATGGTGCTAGCCGAGATCACAGCTGGCTGTATCCGTTGTAAATTGTGATGAGGACTGTAAACCACAGCTAAATTTGTATGTATAATTGTCACAACTTCATGTTCGCTGGTGACGTACAATAGGGTCCTTAACGGCACTCGGCTATGGCCGACCCACCCAAATCTTACTCTACCACACCAATCCTACGATGCTGACTTGCCAGACTTGTTCTATTACGGTGAACCCAAATCGTTGGAGGTGAATAACTGCTTTTCCAGAAACCGCCCAGGGCCTGCAGTGGACACTTTTAAACTCCTCGATCGATCTAATGCTGGTCTGCTTCCTGGTAAACTAGGAACAAGAATGGACTCGGAGCGGGCGGTTGCGATCAGGCGCGAACCTTCCTCCACTAGAATGGAGAGATACAATATCGCAACGAAAAATAATGCCTTAAATGAACGAGGTAGTGCAACTGGTTCTGAAATACGGAGATAGAAATTGGTGGTTATCATATGGCATGTATGTACCCAGGGTGTTTGAATTTGTGATTAATGTATTGTCAACTGACGGCAGCGATAGAACCGTTGTGAAATAATCAAGCCAAATCCACCTGGCACATGTTCAGCAACTTTATGTTCTTGGATTTGACAACCAGGCCCACGTACATAATTACTGGGAAATATCCCCTTCTTCCCGTCTGTGGAAAGCCCTAAAATTATAATCAGTCAGGCGGCGTTGAAATGAAGGTCAGACCACCTGGATACCTTCCCACCAACCGTCCGCATAATTTTGACCTCCATTTGTTCCAGAGGACAGCTCAACAAAGTCTCCCTCATGTATCGTTAGCTCTTCCGGTTCTTGAGCTTGATAGCCGTAGAGAGCCCGTACTGTTTATCGGGTAACAGTAAGAAATAACTGATCGTACCAGAAAATAGGCGGTACTCGTACCGTATATGCCTGACCCTTGCTGAGAAATTTGTTGAGGGGGTTCAGATTTTTCCAATGGCCGTCCGCCTGCATCTTCCAAATAGGTCGCAGGGACCAGCCCTTTCTCACCTTCGGAGTCAGCCACCTTTACCCATCCGGAACCATCGTCTTCCTCTAGCACGCGCACAACAGTACCCTCTTGGAACTATATCAGCACGTGCAATACGGAGACATGTCGCCATACAGACCTGTCACATTCAATTCGAAGGACGAGGACGCCGCGAAGTCGAAGATAGCACGAGCCAATCGATTCACTTCTTCCACATGCGGTGATGTATTGTGTGGCACAGGAGAAGATGATGGCTTTGGAGTTTCTCTGAAGCTGGTGGAGACTGATGCTGCGGATATTCTGTGAGTCCCGTTATAGAGCTTATCATTCACTTACATCTACTCTCCGATATAGACACGGCAGAAGGAGACTGCAGGATTTCCGAGGCTTTGTAATCGCCGTGAACATTACTGCACTCCGCAGGCACCTAACAATGCCCATCAACGGCGTCCTTGCATGGTTCAAATGGGAGAATGGAATCACATTTAACTCGCATTTAGAGTGCACTGATAAGCCACAACTTTTACAAGTCTTTCCCTGCTTACTTAGACCCCAGATCGATACCTAGGCGGTTATTGGTTAAATAGCATAGGCATGCACCCACCAGCTTATTGATCATACCTTACAATATCCGCATGTTGTGGGTATCGAAAAGGCTGAGCTCTTGAAAACGTGCGGGCTCGAACCTCCCTCGTCGCCTTACGTATTAGTATTAACTGATATATGCACCATGCTCATCTAACGTGCTACTTACCTCCAAGGACATCCGCGATGGTGTTGATATCCGAGTTCAGGACACATGCTGAGGTCGAGAGGGCAGTGATCTCGTGGGCAGCATCAAGGTAGCTCTGCATAAGAGTTAGTAAGGAACCCACGCTCCACGCACAATAACTACGCACGTTCATGGCGTCACCCGTGTCTCCAGATGTGTTATCGGTGGCGCAAGCTGTAAACATGACACGATATTTCTCGGCGTCGGCCCCTGTACTCAAGATGCTGAGTGCGACCAACACTCCATGGGGCAACATTGCACTCACGTTTTTTTCCAAGCGCAGGGTTCAGTTCTCTCAATTTAGCTCGCGAGCGCGCGAGTTTATTTTGTAAGAACACCTTGGGGGCTGGATCAATGCAAACATCTCCCTGCAATTTACACGCTCCTTAACAGAGTGCACGTAGCTCAAGTCAGTCAGGCCCACCGTATCGTAGTAATTCGAACATGGTTCAAATACCCAGTCATCAGGTAGGCTGAACGGACGGATGTTAGATTCTACGAATAGCGCTTGGTCCTTATCGGGCTGGACTTCAATCAAGGCGGCGCTAACAGTTGCAAGACGATCCTTCAAGATATCTTGGTGTGATAATTGGATATTCTGGGCCTCTGTCACAACACCAACGAAATCCATCACTAGGCGAGTCTGTAATTCCTCTGCAAACAGTTAGCCGAATCATGTGCAGTGGTAGCCGCTCACGGAAAGACTGGATATGACATAAGGTTCATCAGTATGTGCCGAATAGGATGATGTAATATAACTTACATCTTCAAGACTTGGCAGGTCCTCGGTGTAAAACTTCGTTTTCACGCTGTTGGCGGTTGCAGTTGAAATAATATAGACACTGCCGGGAATTGGATAACATTCTACGTTTTCTTTTTGGCACGTACTTCTTGCTATTGAGCATGTCAAGCCTCTGCAGATCATATTGTCTTGCTGAGCGCTCCGCGTGTCGATCGTGAACAGACTTGATAAGGATTCATGACTGTGAGAATATTCTTGACGAGCCTGAGCTTCCTTACCTGCTTTTGACGTTGAACTTCAACTTCGGCGCAGTCGGCGTCATACTTGATGAACGCGGTGGTTAGAATAGCTGCGTTATGGCATCCAGGATCTCACTTTTTGCTTGCTCTGTATCATGATGGTTAAACATGCAGTATGAGACCAGCTTAAGACCTTGCCTTGATGCGTTCAGCATAGATCTTATCGCGTCCAGCTAGAATCGTGTGATAGAACTGCATTTGCTACATATATCGTCAGTATGCATAGGTATGATTTTCCACAACAATGGAACCTTTTTCTTGTAATCATCATTGCGGCGCTCAACAGCCTTCAGAGATTCCGTAATCTGGGATGACAATGCCTCCGCTAGGTTGATGTGGTCCTGAGCAGAAGTTGACATCGATGATAAGATCTCAGAATATGCATGATTCAGGGTGCTACCATCGAAAATATGAGTACCCGGCCAAAATTGGGAAGAAAGGACGTGCTTCTGTTGATTCATACTTTCCGTGCAGGCCTTTGTGGGATTGTCTCCGACGACTAGTGATAGTCCATTTTTGTTCTTCTTTTCGCTTGCTTTCTTCGCTAACTGCTTCAACTTTACTGCATACTCACGTTCTAACACTGCTCTATCGCGGTACAGTTCGCGGACCTGTATAAGTCAAGCAGGTAGGTTCAGCTGATCAAAATTTCGAATTTCGAAGACGCACATCGGCTAATAGATCAAGATGAGCATCAAAAAGACTGGAGATGCAATCTACCTGGTCCTAATCGTGAAATGAACGTCAGCAATGAATGCCATGATTGACTGCGGATTCAGTAGGTTACAGGCAATAGTTGACCATAGCTGTTGGTTTGTCTCTGCATTTTCTTTCAAAGCATATGTTTGTTGAGTTTGCGATTAGAATTTAGCACGCCTTGAGCTTGAGTACTTGAATGGCTAGGTGAAGAGCAAACGTAGCGATTGCGAAACGGAACGTGCTTGAAGTTGACGTTGATTACCACCCGGCCGAGTCTCATCTTGCCAGAAAAGGTGACTCGGACATAGATAATTATTATCTAAGTTATCGCAGTGCGTCGTGTCAGAAAAACATCACCGTTGCACTAAACTCGCACGTGGAAATAAAGCCATGACAGGGACAATTGTAAGTCGAGAACTGCATTTAATCGAGACACGATGCAGACAAGCGACTCTACCTGCCGGTTCACCACCAGCATGCGGCATGCCATCAGTTTCAAGTCCAGTGAAACGTGGGGCGGTGATTAATTTAGATGATAATCAAATGGCAAAAAAACACATAAATATGATCGGCCATCAAAAAACAACAAACTGTGCTTCAAGTGAAGTTTGAAGGGTTGCAGTGTCATGTGTTCTAGATATGCTGTAGCATGCTGGTAAGGGAACGTGGTCTTCACGTGCCACGACGAGCGAACTGCAAGGTTTGAGGTTGAAGCTTGAAGGGTTGCAATGTTTCATGTACACCAAATATGTTGTAGCACGCTGGTAAGGGAACGTAGTCTTTACGTCGATGCCATTACGAGAAACATTCCGAGCTACGAATTTCTGGTCAGAAACTGATATGCCAAGGACATGTCTGAGAAGCAATTTAGGCTCGTTAATGATTCTGCTAGCAGTAGCAGTTTCCGCTCTTGTCCGCGAAGCACACATGGGTGCTCTAGCCGTCGCCCAGCCGTAACGCATAAAGGTCCACGCCCCAGTTGCGGGCTGTGCGCAGCATGTCAAGCAGTAACGCCGCGGGTGCGTCCGTATTTCATGAGCGTCGATAGAGAGGGTTTCAAGAAGCGAGAAAATGTTGGTACCAGGACCTATGAAACTCTATCCATTAATGCTGAACCAGGTTGCGGCTATTAGGTATCAGTATTTGCTAGCCCGCACGTACGATCTGGTACAGGAATCGGTATTTCAGTGTGAGGGGCTCCTGGAGCAGTGGAGCCTGACAGTTTACTACTATGAAGTAATCGTGAAGAAGACGAACGGACAGACGGCACCGAGGAGTTGTGCCCGCATCGCTTATTGGAGAGCAATCCCCGCGGTGAGAGCTCGGTATGTCGGAAGCCGAGAGCACGACAGAGTCGGACTGACATATTGCTAGTGCTGAGAAACGAAGTGGACAAGAAATAACACGAGGTGCGGGGAAGTTGACCCAATTTGCGGAGACAAGATGGCCGGAGTGGAACTAGGTGCGTGGGACACAAAATGACTTCTTTGAGCAACATTCAAGTCAAATCTTTCTTAAAATTTTGGCGATTCGGTACACGAGGCTATATTATAGTAAGTAACGGTCCTCATAACATTATCCAAGATGAGATGGGTGTACACCTTAGCCGGACGGCATTGCTTCTGTTGTGTGTGATCTCCCAAGCGTTCCTGTGCTCGAGCCTGCCGTGATTTTCGTTTGCCCTCGACTCGGAAACAATAATCAGCCCTCAAGACTTCCGATGTACGTTGTTTTTTGAAGTACGTATCCGCGTACCCTCATTTCTTCCCTAGGCAACGCGACTCCAGTGCGGGATAATCTATAACTGGCACAGCAATCAATTTTCCTGAAGAGCATATCTGATGTGAGGTAAAAGCCTGTCTCCAGGTATATAAGGGCCTATAGATTGTAGATTAAAGTAAGTGCGAGTAGAGCTCCATCCCCTAACGCCCCCTTCACGCACTCGACATCTTGTCTGCTCACTGGCTGCAATATGTATAGACTAACGACTATCTTGATCACGCTATGCACGTTTTTCTTCACTGTTCTAGCTGCGCCATTACGGCTCAATGGAATGTCACTTGAAAAGCGCACCACACACACAGGCGAGGTGAATTGATGAAAGACAGTTGATTGCTGCTTCCTAGATTGCTAATTGCTTTAACAAAGGGTACCTGGTTTGAAACTGGTACAGGAGCCTGCGGATACACGGATTCAGATGATGATCCTATTGTCGCTATTTCCGCCGAGATATATGGCAGTGGAGGAAACTGTAATCAGGTAGGCCCATCTCCCATTCCCGCAATGCGGACATTGGATGCTTATCGCTCGTAGTGGATTCACATCACCAATACTGACAACGGACAGACCGCGTACGGGAAGACGCGTGACGAATGCGAGTCTTGTGGCTCAGGTAGCTTAGGTATGCTGTTATTTCAGGGATTACATTGTGTACCTGTTAAATCCGTTTCGCAGACATGTCTCCTGGCCTATTTGAAGAACTAAGCACGCTTGACACCGGTGAAATCCCAATTTCATGGCACTTTATGAACAAGGACTGGTCGCCTTAACTGCGCGCCGTCCTGTATTTCAGATCTTACTTCGGGCACACGATTTCCTTACGGTTTCCATCACGATTCTTTAAATTATTATTATAGACGACATATGCTCTTCGTCAGGAAGGGGATCAGGATTTGTTTGTATCATTACATAACGATGTTTCTGTGGCGCTCTATCGCCTACAACTATAAAATAAATGCAGGGCTGGCTCTGGAGACTACCATCTTTTTCTTGACCATATGTGCTCCGTTTTTTCTAGTAATCCGATTAGCATCTGATCTGCATGTCCTTATTATCAGCACCTATACAGCCTGAAAACGGGTGGGTTCCTTTCGGTCGACTCTTGCCAGTGAATGACTTGCACGTTTGAGGGTCACAAGAATTGACATCTCAAAGTTCAAGTTACTGAGCTTGCGACTCGAGCAGCCGAAGATGGATGGTAAGTATCATAGGTCATCGTTCGTAGCACGGTGCCAGTCACCCTAAACGAAGACCCAATAACATCGCAGGTTTTGGATCCCTTTGCCTAACTGTTGCGGCATATATAATTATCAACGTATGTAGAATCCTCGCTCTCTCAAATATTCGCAAGATTGCGACATGTCACGTCAGTATGGCTTTTCCTGAGCGGTTCAAGTCCGCCTTCCCTGATTCACCACGATGCAGAAGTGCTTGAGCATGCCCGATCGCCGTACCCTTGCGATTATACTGATACTGGTTACCTGCACGCGATATGCGCATGTATACACAGCTTCACATCTCATCCGACCTGAAGCCGACGTTTTCCGTGAGTATCGGAGACACCATAATGAAAATACGACATCACCACCTCTCTCCGCGACCGCGGGGGCTCGTCAAGTGTTCGCGGGTATGCTGTTGAATCTGCACAAATATTATTTGTGTCCCCCGAAACAAGTGCGTGGGATGTAGAACAACATTCGCCAAGACTTATGCCTCGGGGACTACTAGTTGATTTTGGGCCTTCGCCGAGTCTTGCAATAATGGTCTGCCAGACTGCCACCCCCACCCATGCACCTCAATTTAACAGCACGGTAGCTATTCCCCTGAAAAGCAAGGGACACAAGTGCTCGCGCCTTTCCCTTTCGTGCTCGATTCTCGAGTGGCTGAGGACGCATATAATCTAAGTACAAGTGGAAACTGTCAGTGAAAGTTTGCGCCCCGAATCATTCTAGCCTTCCGGAATGTCAAGCGAAGAGAAGACCGCTCGGAGGTCACGGAAATGAGGCCGAAGATACCAGACCAAACTCGTCGGCCGATGCTCTAGAGGGTGCTACGTCACCAGAAGGTATTTCTGTCCTAGGCACTCGTTCTAGGCATCCCTCGAATGATCAAATCCCGAATGACCATCTTCATTTCCCTGAATGGCCTAGAGCCTGCTCTATAGCGAATAATGTTGCTGCTGGTACAAAGGGCATGCCTTGCGGAGAGCAACACGCCCATCATCGTGAAATGAAGATCATATAGCACGCTGTTACTCGCGTCAGTTTCTAAGAAGAGCCTCGCGTTCTCCTTCCCTCTTCCTTTGACGCATTTAGAAAGCCCTCATAATAGCAACATCGCATGTTCGTTCTCGAGTAATTCAAGCACTCGACCATCGTCTGGCCTTCCGAGTTCATCACACGGCGAGAAATTGTGCCTAATTTCATCTAGTGCTCGAGTTGGTATGCGATCACTGACTCGACAAGAGCAGCTCTTGTATTGCATTTTGCACGACGCATGCTCCGTGACGAAACTCAAAGTCGAAACTCAGGTTGATGGACCCGTTATCCGAAGATTGCTACCTCTTTATGCCCCTTATAACCTTCCCCTAAAATCAGTAGCGAAATGAGGGCCTCGAATTCCCTCCAATAAATTCAGGGCAGTGTCTAATTTGGAATGTATGCAGCATTGATCATCCAGTAGTTCCCGCCAGGTACCGCGACTCAATCAACAGGGGCCCTTCGAAGTTCAAGTTCCAAAACCAAGATTCATTACATCCAAATGAAAATCATGCACATGGTGTGGCGAGTGCTTCTAGACAGTTGATTTCTGAGTACAGAATCAGGTGAAGTATGTATGTGCCCTAGATCCACCGCTGTTGCCATTGGCAAGTCGTATAATTGTTTCCGAAGCATCTTGTCCATCCTTGAGTCGCTCGGATCCTTGACAATCGACTATCATAGCTCCCTCCTAGTCATTCTTCCCAGTTCCGGGTGGATGGAAGAGACCACGGAGGTCATACTCTGAACTACTAGTAGGGCCTGACCTCAGCTGGTAAACAGAATCTGATCAGAGGGCACGTTTTTATCATTTCTTTCTACCATCGGTTACGGTCTATTCGCAATCAATACCTCAGCTGTGTTCTTCACACCTGTAATATCAAAACTCGTGGAGGAAGCAGCGAAAATAAGACCACGACTCGATTGAGAATGTACAGATCATCCAGCGATGCACTTGTCTCACGACTTAACCAACACGAGCACTATTCCAATAACCAAAATTTGCTACATTCATGTAAATCATGCAAAGTGTTCCAATAAAAGTGATATCATGAGGATGCTAGAATAGGGTTGGAGTAAAGTGATTGAATGCCAGCCAAGTATGTGTCGTAGATCCACCTTCGTCGTCAAAATCGTACAATGGAAGAATGAGTAAGCAAGAGTTCATGAACATTGAGTCGCAATCATCATTAACATGTCATCTGATTCTTAGAAATGCGTTGGATGTCAATCGAAGCTCATGGCGCCTACAGGATGTAGAGCAGTGATACCAAGGCGAGTATAATTGATGCGCCTGACGCATGGTTCCTCCATGCAGCACCCGTGTGTGTAGTTTGTGTTGACGTTGCAGTAGACGTGACAACTGAGGATGTGCCAGAACTTAAAGTAGGCGTAGATGCCCCGGCTGCAAGTGTTATGCCAGAAGTTGTTGTGGGAGTCGAATTAACCAGAGTTGATGTCAGGGTTTCCGAGGGAGTTTGACCTGTAGGGGATACGCTACCCGTAGGAGTGACCGACTGAACTGAAGATGTGGACGGCGCAGGAGCAGACGAAGATGAACTGTCGTTGATGATGGTGAACTCTGGACTAGCATTGCCAGAGTCCCCAAACACTTGATCAAAATTATTAGAGCGCCCTCGCACAGACACCCACAACTTACAAACAACGATATAATCTTCTCGTGTCTCCACATTGGGGACGGTGATCAGAACTTGACCGTCCGTATAATTGATGTTCGTTGCAAGTGGTGAATCTAGAACGATTATTTAATAACAATAAAAGCATAATATTTTACGACATGATTGACTCACTCAACATTAAATTCTCGCTATTGTTGTACATGTATCCCAGAACCAGCATCCCAACCGGATTGGTGACGTTAGAAGACAAACCGTCAGTGCTCCTGCGATAAATGCGTTATTCAAAGGAATCCGATCACACCTGGGTGTACACACTTACCAAGTTATCAGTTGCTTCTCTCCGACATGCCATACAGTGCCCGCCGTTGGACTAGTGATGGGCGGATCTACCACATCCCTCAAGTTCAGTGGTAGTGAGAGTGCCAACAATGCCAGAGATGTGATAGTGAATAAGAGGTTCGTGAATGCAAACATATTGTTGAAATCACCCAAGGCAAGGACGGGTAACTGGAGCTAGAGGTCTGAGCGCTCGAGCAGTTGTACCACATTGTCGAAACTGGTTGAACATGTTAATAACATAGCAGTCGTGAGAAAAACAGTTAGGTAAGCGATAGCATCGTGCCTTAAGGTTAGACTCAATTTACACCAGTTTGGTAGTGCTGGACCATCTCCAACTGACATGCATAAGAGCATGAGAAAGTTGTGTCTGCGCTCCCCAATCAGAATCTTCATTTGTTCGCTAGGGCCTGCCAGGCACTGTCATTGATAATGGCGAGTCCGAACTTTGGTACTGTCATACGTAACGTTCGACTGCCATGCACAGAACATTCAGAGACTTCTGCATGGGACATAGCCTGCCTTGATGGTCGAGTACAGGGTATAACCTCTTCAGGGTCATGCATACCTCACGATAAAGCTACAGTTGTCGAAGCTGACGGCGGAGTGCTAGTCCCTTCGTAGGTTTGACTTTGTCCATGAATTAATTGCCAGGTCTGAAGAATATCTAGGCTGTGCCACTCGCACATTCACCTCGACAAGTGTTTTATACTCTCTCAGTGTGACCCGTTGATTACTGGGTACGTTGCATCATGCATATTTGTCTTCAACATGATTGAAATGTTGACTTTGTCCAAGGTCTTTACCTGAAGCTCTTCAAGTAACAAATAAAGCTAAAGCAGAATTTCCAAACAATATCGATAGTCTTTATGCTAGGGCGACTTATCTTATCCAAGAGAGCGTGGAGTCTGGTGTCACTGCGATGCGAGCCTTCGTTGAGGTGGATACGACAGTTGGATTCACATGTCTAGACATGGGACTTCAGTTAGCCAAAGAATGGGCTGAGGTTTGTCATATCCAAATAGTTGGTCTGCCGCTTCACCTGCCGTTGCTACACTTTTGAGTGCTGATATCTATTTTTAGCTTTCGCCCAAGAGGCGCTCTACGAGTTTGCAGCTTCAACAGAACCCGGTCCAAATTACCATCTGCTTTGTGATGCAGTTTCCCGCCCGAACGTTTCCGTCGTCGGCTCTGCGCCTTGGGTTGAACCTGATCGCGCACATGCTCTCAAGAACATTGAACTCATAATGTCTCTCGCTGAAACACACGACCTACACGCAGACTTTCACCTAGATTACAATCTCGATCCGGGCGCCGTTCCGATGGTTTGGGATGTATTGCAGCAGATGCGCCAACGATCCTGGTGTAAAAGTAGTGGAAAACGTGTTACTATTGGACATGCAACCAGGTTGGGACTCTTTTCGGGCGAAGAATGGGCCGAATTGAAGCGCGCCACAGACGTCTTACCGTTGGAGATTGTCGCCCTACCGCAAAGTGATGTTTACATGATGGGTCGTGCGGATCCTAACGGGAGAGTTCCAGTCCCGCTCGCCGGGCGCACAATCAATGCGCCTCAGGTTTACCGCGATCACGGAGTCCGTGTTGCGCTTTCTGTGAATAACGTCGAGAATGCCTTCACGCCCCAGGGATCACTCGATCCCCTCACGCTTGCTAGTCTTGGCGTCGCACTTTTCCAAGTGGGTACAGAACCAGATTGGAGAGTACTTCTGGTGAGCAAACTGGATGGAGTTAGGTCTTGCCGTAATATGATGATTGTCACAGCGATCGGTGTCGACAACATCTAAAGAAGCCATTGGTGTCATGCACGGGGGCAGTGTTGGTGGGAAATCCGCGGATGAAGGCGATGGTATTGTCCCCCGTGTTGGTGATCCTGCTGATTTCGTTGTAGTACATGGAGCGCGTCGGTGGCAATCTGCAGTACTAAGCCCAGGATTCGACCGCACAACATTTTACAAGGGCAACGTCGTAGCAAGACGAAGGGCTCAGAGGTGGAATGCAAATATGGGTAGAGATATCACCGACTAGTCAGAATGGTTATATACACAGCTCGCAGATCTTTGGGCCACAGACTTCATTTGGAGTCATGATACTCGGAAGGATGATCAATCTGATTCATATCATGTGCACCATCTCCTGAGTCATGCGTAACCAAAAAACTGGATATAGATCATCAATAAGTGCTTAAGTACTTACTCAGAAGCAAGTTGTATTTCTACAACTATATGAAGATAAAATACACATAAAAGTCCCCATTTACAAAAATCCGCTCTCTTGCAGCAATCGAGCCATCTTCTCGTCTTCTCTCTCTCGGGGTTCGCGTTCCAGACTGAGGTTCCAAAAGTAATCGCCTACATCAACCTGCTCGCTGAACTTAGCAAGTGATTCCTCAAGGTAAGTTTGAACGCTCGTAATAGGATTGAAATTATGAGGGAATGTTTGCCAGCGCTGAATATCTTGGATCACCTCCGAAGCTTTCTGTCGTTTTCGGAAGTTCACCAAGTTACCTGGAAGAGTGTCCTTGCTTCCATCTTGGATGAACGTTAGTGTAGTAAGGAAGACCCCTTTACATACGAATCAATACGTCGGCAACAAATAATCAAAATAGAGAGCTCACCAATGAAAGGCACACAAGGGGGCGAGACTCTTGCGAGCGTCGAACGATAGTTATTGAAGTTCTTGCCTGAATCGATGGTCAACTCGCATGCGCTAAGCTGAGCCATATGTCGGGCATTCACTTGCTCCCATGAGCGCTTGAGGCGCCTTATAGGAGGCGAGTTCAGTCCAGATACTATAGCAACCATGCTCGAATAATTGTGCATCGAGCGACATCGCTGAGGGAAGTAAGCATCGTGCGAATGAATCATGTAGCAGACCACTCACATCGGCCACACTTATGAACTGCTTCAAGATAGCCGAACGCTTCCTGGAGTCCTCGTGAGTGAGAACGGAGTCGGCTACCCAGTTAGCAATCTGGTAAAGTTATGAGCATATCATGGCTATCGGAGTGTCGGACCATACCCGATTACTTGTCTGGATTACCCGAGCAATATTATCGTTGTGATCTGTCTTTTGCTCCCGCGAGCGCTGCAGACATTCCACTGGCCGTATCTTCTGGTATAAGTGACTCTCCATGATCGTCAACTGCCGTGCCAATTCCAAGGAGTCTACGTCCAAAAGTTTCAACTTCTTATTGTGCTTGGGTAAGATCGAGGGAGGTGGACTGCCCAAAGTAGGAGTCAAGCCTTTCTTGACGTCTCCTCCACGCTGTGCCACCCGAGTCAGACAGCCTGTACCATATCAACGACGCTGAACTCACTGCACGTTCAACGAGTGAAAGTAGCTGCTTTGCGCCTACAAACTTGCTAACATCCTCGGTCTGCAAGAATTCTTTCATTCGATTCAGGATGTACATATCCTCTTTCTCAAGGAAATCTTCATCTGAAACCATGGCCTTGAGAGTATTTAGAACGCTGAAAATCACATTAGGTATAGAGCGGAAGAATCAACAATAACGCACCGCATCTGAATGACATTTTGCTTGAGCTTTCTCCATTCTTCTGACTCAGTAGGACTTAGGCCTTCTGGAATTTGAATGCGGAAGCGGTGGACGAGGTGGTCGAAAAAGTCATCAAGGGTGGTGAATGACTTGTACGTCATCAAGAATGTTTTGATGAACGTAGGGTCTATAACGTCCCAATACTGAATATGATATTGTAGGCAGATAGATTAAGAAGCACCCGTACCTGAAGGATCATGTGACGTTAGACGTTCGACTAAAGCTGGAACAGTTCCTGCTCGAATGCTTCCATCTACATCGATAGTCATGTCATTCTTCGTGTAGTCGGGTCGCAGATACCAGGGCTTTGTGCTGATAATGTGCTCGGGAGCGTCATCGCCAAAGATTTTCTTGATCTTCGTTGCTGTTCTCGTGGTCGCGGCTGTACATATCATAAGCCGAGAAAGTAAGGGGGTATACAAATGTCGCTTACAGTCGTCGTCAAGCACTGAAGCCGAGTCGCTCATCGACAGGACATCCTGCGGTTTATCAAACGTTGAAGGGACCAGGGTGTGTACAGACATAGTGGGGTCATAGCTCGAGGCCGTCGACTTGAGTGACCGATCGGTAAGGGTAATAGTGGTGTCAGATAATTGCGATTGACTTCGTGATGTTGGCGCTCGGTCACCGAGAGTAGCCGCCGACTTTTTCATTCCAGACGCACCAAAAGCAACTTCGATGTCAACAATGTCCTCGCTCTCTGGATCTGCTGGGTCGAGGACCGACATGGGACGGGCGTCAAAGTTGCAGTCAATGATGCTTAAACGTGACATGCGCCACTCTATTGCACCTGTGTATTCCCCTTGTGCCATATCTGCTTGATCGTGGCCAAGGGAAAGCAGGGTATCAAGGGTTTGCATGAGGAATTGGAGATTTGACTTGAGGGAGACGGAGATAGCGTCTAGGTACTCGCACTGGGAGTCACGATCGTGTCGCGAGACTCTGTAAGTAAGACGACGAACTCGCTGTATCGTGAGAAGCAGTGTAGCTGCGTCATCATACAGAGCTTGTACTACCGCCTCGAGCGTGCGTGTGAGCAACCGAGCCTTGTCCACGGTTTGAGTGTACAGAGCAGCACGTTCAGCATCCGCCATATTGGAGTAGAAACCATCGATATCAACGTGACGAGCGATGTGGATATTGGCAACGAATAGGAGGAGTGATGAAAGGCCGGAAAGAAGCTCGCGACCGGCAATCCATACTCGTTGCTCTGGAAATGTTCAACAGATAGACCACAGTATAAACACTGACATACTCACGAGACTCATCGCCGATCGTCTTGAGCGCGGCGTAGAATGTTCCGAACCTCGCCTGCATTGATACCATGTGCGTCTTGAACTCAGAGAAAACATCGCCATCTAAAATTCGCTGAGGGGCTTCATCATTATCATCAAGCGGCACCCAGCCAAAACCTCTCCAAGACCCTGCATACCCCGCACCGACTAGCCCCAGTCCAAGGTAGACTGCGGAAAAGCAACCCAGAACTCGTTTTGCTCCTACGCTACCAAGTCTTTCGTTTTGGCACCGTTGAACTTCAATAACGAATGTCACAATGGCACGATCAAGCTCTGCCGCGTCGCTTTCAACACGAGATGCTGTATCATGCGCCGCAGGACCCGAGTCGTACTCCATGGCTCGAGCAGACAGAACGAGCTTGGATAACGTAGCAGTTACTTTCCGTTGAGCTGGTTTCAGAAGCGTCTGTGATGCAGTAGTCTCGCGGCGTCCACGAGCACCGCGTGGTATGAGGTTGCTGGGTATGTGACCAGGAGGTGCGGATATGTAAAGTAGATTGCGGACGGTGATGACAACAGCCCTGATGAGGCTGTCAAGGACCTGTCCGTGTTCTGTTCTTCGAGATACGCCGACCAGAGACTGGTTTTTCTGGACAACGGCAGAGATGGCGTTATGTGCGATATGGGATAGATCGGAAATAAGGTCCGGGAGTGGTGGTGCTAATGATTGCTGGAGTGATTGGGCAATTTTCTCAGCTGCGGTCAGTTCAACGGAAGGCTTCCTAAGAGCTAATTGGTCCGCAAAAAGATCCTGACCACTTTGAGAGCGACCACTGGTTGATGGTGAATCACCGTGGTCTGGAGAGTATAGGCAGGAATCTTCAGAATCACTGACATGCTCCGGCTTGCTGTGACTCCGGTCCTGCCCATGTCGGGTTTGGGATGTCGTTGAATCAGATCGAAATCGCGTCGGGTCCGAATCCTCAGCCGGACTGTTGAATAAATTCGATGAGGCAGTGGAGGAACTGGTGAGGGCGCGAGTCCTGCCCTTCTGCACAGCAGCCTCTGTTTCTGGGATTGTCCAGCTCACTTGACCAGTGAGCTTATTCCAGTAATAGTAAGACATGCCATCATCGGCAAGTCGTCTCGCCCAAGGCTCAGGCGTCCCGGAGCGTTTGAGAACACCAAAACCTGGGATAGAAGATTCCGTCAAGGCGCTGAGTCCTAGCCCTGCGCTTGTGCCTGACCGCGAACTTGCTGGAGAAGCAGCCAGTCCAGCAAGTTCACCAGCCGATACATCATCGCCTTCCATGGGTAAATCTCGCGAAATCTGGCCTGTCTGCGTGTTAACATAGTAAATCTAGAGAATAAGATATTGGTCTGACATGTAAGGAATCACAGCAAGCAAAATGCTCTGCTCACCTGGCCATCCTGTGTGACTTGGGGCATCCAAAAATCGCTTGACAGGGTCGCGCTGTGTTCCGCAGCACTGCGGGATTCAAGAAGACCGTTGGATGGAACAGATGGGTTACGTTTATTTCGCGACCATTCACTGTCTGATAAGTGGGGGTCCTGTGTCCGGGAGTGGATGTCGTTTGAATGAGCATCATGAGCTACTTCATTTATTTGCTGGAAAAGCCCCTGTTGAGTTGTAGCATCATGGTTGGAAAGAGCGATCTCTGCCTCCTCATCAGATAACACTACTACATAATTGGATGGAAACCATCCCCGTTCATCGCCGAGGAGTCCGTCCCACCAGCCTGACTCGAGCTGGGTGAGAACTTCGATAATTTCATTCTTGTGGAAGGAGAGAGAGGAAGCATCTTGTGTCTGGTAGTCATATAGAGCTCGACAGAAGAATGTGGAGATGTACTGCTCCTCCGGAAGTTGTGAGATCTGCTGTTCCTGTTCGACAGTGATCGTAGTGGATTGGGAGGGGTAGCAGTTGACACCACTATACATGGCGAGGCCGATTGCAGTCATATAAGAGCTGAGGTAGAATGGAGAACCTCAAGTAGAACGAATTCTGATGGATTGGCGGAAGCCGAGGGAAGTCAACTCAGCTAAGATGAGCCGTATGCCTTCACAACGGACTATTACGTAATAACACAGTTCATTATCGCGTTATCGCAGACTACATGTCATGGAACCTGGGACAGCAACTGATAGCAAAGTCTACCGATCTCACCGTTTCAGCGTCCTTTGCTTCTCCGCGAACTGCACAATTTTTCGATCGACAAACATTCCTTTCCGCTCTCGCACGCTATCCATATAACCCTTTGCGACATTGTCTCGATCTGCTTTCTCACCAAGGTCTTCCAACTCTTCCTCAGTCGTTGGTATCCAGAAAGGATCTTGATCAAGCAATTCATATCTTGTGCTCCGTTTCAATTACCTGCAAACGCCAACAGGTGGTATTACTCACCCGCTGAAAATTAGCTGTGGGCTTGCAGCACCAGACGTCCGTTTGCGTATATCTGTATCACAGTGAGACTACCCCATCGCAGCTTCCAAATTCAAGCTCACCATCTGCAAAACCAAAACTCTCCACAACTGGAAGAAGAGCAGATACTGTGAAGAACGTAGTCCCCTCCTTCATCTCTTCAGCCACAATTCGACCACGTCGTTTCGCAACCACTCCATAGACTTTCCCAAGGACATCCGCTGAGATAAGCTCTAATTGATATAAGAGGCACAGACCAGTGGATCACGTACTTGAGGCTTGAATATCACACGAATATATCGCTAGCATAAGCCTAGGGGACCAATCAAGCAGTCCATTTCTGCAAGCATCTCTCACCGCTGATACCACGGAGCCCGTCACTTGTGATAACCTATTCTGGACTATTCAAAATGTTAAAACATCATATCTGTCAAACACTTATAAAAAGCATACCAATCTCCTTCTGGACGCCGTCGGCATCAACGTCAATCGATTCAACAAAATAAGCCATCCCTTCGACAGGCTCAGCACACAACGGTCCTTGGAACATAGCCAGCTGGAAGCCTGTCTCAACATAGCCCGTGAAATCAACATGATTGTCGGATGTGTTTGAGGGCTGAGCTTGATGGTTGCGTGAGAGACGACGCCTCAGCCTGAATACAGCATCAGTGACACTGCAAGGAACCACAAGGTGACGCACGATGACGGTGTGGTATCTTTGCGATAATCAATAAGAATACAGCTACCAGCGTGACGGGGACCAAATGACCAGATTCTGTCGCTGATATTCACCCATTCCCCGCCAGCTTCGTTGCACTTCTCTTCTAGTGCATTCCAAAATTGGTCCGCTCTAACACTTGGAGTATGGAGCACATCGCCTTGAACACCAACCAGTTCGCTATCAGAAACAATATCGATACTGCCATCGCTGCTACCGGAGGTATCTCTGTCTGTGTGACCGTCCTGTTGCAATGCTCTGAGAGTCGTTATATTATGCAGCAAGAACTGCAAGATGACATCGGGAACAGGCGCCGAGCGAATCGAAAAGGTGACCAAGTTCTGTGTGCTTGCACCCTTGATTGTTCCACGGGCAGCATTTGGCGTCTTCGAGGGTGCCATATCTACCCTCAAAAGGTGAGTAGCGACACGATGCATTGGAAACTATGCATACCTTGGGCTTTCACAGCTGTTTCGCGGAAAGGAACAATTGGTTTAGACGCCTGAATCTCCACACGAGCGAACCTCTCTCGCAAGTCTTTCAGACATCTCTGAATAGGATGAACGAAAGTAGATGACAGTGAGCAATCAAATCATACCTCCAAGTGTAACTCTCCTGCGGTCAGAATCACATGTTCTCCAGTCTGTTGCTGGAATGTTTCAACGCAGGGATCAGCTTGAGCAAGGAGCTTCATCCCGGCGACAAGTTTGGGCATATCAGAAGGGATGACGGGTTCAAGCGCGACTCGCACTATAGGGGAAACCTATGATGGAAGTAATGATCAGTGGTGGAAGCCAGACACTTGCGTGACACTTACTGTACGGGTGACACCACCAATATTAATGAGACTATCTTGCACTTGGGCAGGATCCGTGCCCTCTGGAACGCCTATGCTTTGTGGCGCACAAAGTGTAGCATTCCTGTACACCTTGCCTCCCAATCCCTTGATTGCAAAGGTGTTTCCTGCCCTGACACTGTCCACAGGGATAAGCTCCCGGCCCATCATCACGTACAATCCTTCAACCTTGGCCGGAATAAGATGCGCAACATTATGAGCGTGGTTTGGAGGAAGGGAGGCGTCGTACTTGGGCAGTACGCAAGTACATTGTGGAGCCAGTGTGTACCGTCCCTGAATACAGTCGTGCAAAGCCGAGAATAATTTCAGACTGTTCAGAAACGTCTAACGTTTCTCCTAGAGCCGTGCTAGGAGGAGATTCTGGGGCTGCACGGGGAGGGTCCGGGGTCTCTGAGACTGAAACGCTGTTATCCCTTGCTTCTTTGGCATCTCGCGCCCGCTGGCGTAGCTCGTCCGCTGTCACAGCACGTTTCTTGTTTTCCGGAAGTTCTTTGGCTGCAACAGCGAACATTTTGCTTACATATGCAACAACAACTGCGTCTGGCGCGAAGTTGGACGTGAAGAGATCCTGCTCTAACTTGTTCTTGGGCTGTATGCTCTTGTCGAATACATCAGGATAAAGCATTTTGGGGATGCGAATTGCCTGGGCAACAGGAGGGGAAGGAACGACATCGATGGTCGCCTGAATTATGCACGTAGACAGTGAAAGCCACTGTGTAAAAATCGTGGACAGCAACTGCCGACTGTCTTTTGACCTCAGATCCCGAGGTAAAATCTCCAGATTGAGAGCTGTTACAATCTTGGTCACTTTCTCTGTGTTCCTAGAAATGTATTAGCATATCATGTGGCATCATATGAAAAGATGATGATTACGGGTTCATCACAACGGCATCATAGACCGCCCAAATGTTATCCAGCACAAATTGGACAAACATCGGCTTCAATGCGCGTCCGCGAAGATGCTTGTGACTGATAATTTTCTTGGTTTTTGGATCGAGATAGAAGTCGCCCCATAAAACGCGCCTTAGATTGGCTTCCTTGAAACCGAGCTTTGCAGAATAAAGCTGGGCAAAGTTCCCAATTCTGAAACCCCAACCATCAATGGCAGACGCAAAGATTACATTACCCCGCTCCGGAGCGAAGTAGATATCTTCGTCGTCTTTCTCCTTGAAATCACCTGTGTCATTGGCCGACGCTTCGGCGTCATCTGCAAGTTGATCCTTCTTTTCAGCAAGCCGTCGATCGCGCTCTTCCCTCCATCGGAGATCGTCCTCCATCAATTCACTTGCAAAAAAACTGCCCATAACAGCGTTCACTTGTTCAATTAACCGCGAAAGGTGCTGGTAAGCTTCGGTGGGCACCAGCTTCAGCTCTGTGACGAGTCTATCCATTTTATTGATGACGAGTATCGGGCGGAGGTTATCCTCCCATGCCTGTCTAAGCACAGCAATAGTCTGCATAACTGGGATTAGATGCACTCTGTGTCATAAACAGACTCACTCACCTGCGTGCACACACCTTCAACAACATCAACGAGGACCAGTGCACCATCACACAACCGAGACGCTGTGGAGACTTCGCTCGAGAAATCAACGTGTCCTGGGGTATCGATCATATTCACGATATATGTCTTTGGGGACCTTTCTGGGTATGTTTATTACTATCCTTGGCATATGCACCATGATGAGATGGGTACCTTCGTCAGGTCGCCCCATGACCTGAAACTTGAGCGATACTGCGCTGCTTTCCATCGTGATCCCGCGCTCCTGCTCGTCCTCTCTACTATCAAGAAACCTCAGTTTCCCTGCCATCCGATGAGAAATAATGTTGTTTGCCGCGAGAAGGGCATCCATCAGTGTAGTCTTTCCGTGATCGACATGCCCGAGAGTCGTGATTATTCGAACGTTAGTTGGGTCTGGAGCCTCCATCGATGTACCTGTTGATTATATATGTACACCTGCGTGAGCAAGAAAGTGCGTATGAAGCGTGTGTGTGGTCTCTCTAGAATTAATAATGATTGCTTTATATAAAACATATATGAATCGATTATGACTTGCCGGTGCTTCGGAAGCGAGTTTCGTATCAACCGCATAAGGAAATCGCGAAAGCGCTTGCCAAGTTGTCTAGACTCTACAAGCGAATACGTATGTAACAAGCTGAGCTCCCTACACTAACAATCTCTTGAGGCTTTGCCTCACCGAGTCGTTTAAACCCTTCCCTATCAACACCAACTTCCCTGAATCAGGAATACCTGTAACATCTCCTTCTACTAAGGATAGGTCATACATACTCTGCACGCCCTGCAGAACGTACTGCTCCCCAGATTGTATCACGAAAAGACCCTTACAACGAAGGACCTTGAGTTCCGATAGTCCAGTCTGACGGTCACTGTCTGGGATTCGGTTCTCCCACAGCACCGTACGTATCCACTCGTCCAGTTCTTGAAGACGGTGACGGGTTAACGTAGGAAGAGTGATCTGCAGACTAGATATGCCACGCAATTCATAGTGCTTAGCGGAGACGGCGTGGTCATGATTGTCATCATCGCCATGCTGGTGCTGCGCAGATCGCAACCCCTTTGTCCCCCCTGCGTATGCATTGATGTTCATGATATGGGCTAGATCAATCTGACCGCGAACAGTTCGGTGAATTGGAGCAGAGGGATTGACCCTTTGTATGAGTTCTTCAGTCGAGCGCAATTGTCCTTCTGATGCTAGATCGACTTTGTTCAGCAAAATAACATCGGAGCATGCTATCTGTCTGGAGATGCTGTAAGTCGCGAACCAGATTCAAAATGTGATCCATAATTACCTGAGGCTTTCGCCAATGCCGTCGACAGAATGATCTTCTTCCATTTGCTAGGGTATGATTTAGCGGATGAATTTGCACAAATCAGAAAAGTGTCAATGTACCTGTTGGCCAAAGACAGCGTCGACGACACAGACTACGCCATCCAGGGAAATCTGTCGACCTAAACCAGCGGCATACTCCTCATTAAGCCAGAACATGGACGCGATAGGACCTAGGAAATACAAAAGTTATATGTAAGGCATCGAGAACGAATCACAGACTGCTTACCAGGATCAGCAAGGCCAGTAGTTTCTAGTAAGATATGGTCAAAGGCACCTTTCCTTTGCATAAGTTTTTCAATGGCAGCTACGCCAGCGTCTTTGATAGAACAGCATAGACATCCATTTGCCAACTCAAGGAACTCCTGTGACTTCTCTGCTGTTGGGTCATCTTCCGAAGAGATACCAATAGCTTTAGCTATACTTAATGTTAGCGAGGGACTTCACATGGTTAGGATAGTGAAAACCTTCGATGCTCTTCCGATGGATGTTCAATAGACGTAATTATGAGCAGATTAAATCGATGCTCACTGAAGTATCGCCAAATTCATTCATAATCACGGCTATTCGATACCCGTGACGCTCCGTTAAAATACGCCTAATGAACGATGAGAGAGTAGGTGCACGGTGCGCGTGATGCTGGGTATTTCGCATACCTCAGCAGGGTTGATTTCCCCGCCCCAAGAAAGCCACTGATGATTGTGCATGGCACTCGACGAGTTGAGACAAAATCAGGCATGAGCGCTTGATCTTCATGTTCGATCAACATCCTTGTCAGCAGTAAATTATTAGCAGAGCAAACGAGCGACAAACTGAAACATACTGCGCACATACGGTATATCATCATCGAAGTCCATGACTTTGATCTTGAGTGCTATAACTTTGGGACTCTCTCTAAGTGACTGAGTATGACTGAGTTTATATCAGTAAAGCGAACGACCATATGGAGATGTGCTTACTGGTCGAGCAGATCAATCGAGGTTGCAGTAGAACGAAGGCGAGAGCTGAGCTTGCCGATGAGATGGTGACCGTACTGCTTCCGAACCTTACGGAATGCTCTTAAGTGACTTCCGTTTTATGGCACGGTGTCACTAGTACTAGTACTCATTCATGTCTTTTCCATCTACTATGTCAACTTCTTCGAATAGTGTGTTTCCGCTGACAGATGAACCCCTCAAAAACTTGATCCAGGGCCCAGGTGATGTGGAATGGAGGTATGCGCCGCACACGTTCTTATGCTACAGCTATGAAAGCGCTCCATTTACCAGGTATGAAATGCGTCGGGAATGTCAAGAGATCATTCCTGGCCTTCTACTAGGCCCTTTCCAGGCATCAAAGTCGCTCGAGGTGCTTAACTCGCTTGGCGTCACTCACATGTGAAGTTCAAACCCTCTTTGGATTGACGGCTCAACTGATTAATAGACGCGTCTCTTATTTCATCCCCTAAAATTCTATCTCAAGACTCTGTATACGCGATAAGAAGGAAGCATTCTCCGTGAAACCACGTTTCCCAGAACGTTTTGAGTACCTCGTATTGGATGTGGAGGATAACGAAGACCAAAACGTCATTCGCCTGTTCCCGCAGTCTGTATTTGCTGCACGATATTCCATGAACATGCTAACAGTCAGCCAGAGCTCATAATTTCATTACCGAATCATTAAATAAAAAGGGCACTGTTCTTGTTCACTGCAACGGTGCGCTCTGCGCTTAATTGTTCGCAGCGCCAACTCAGTCCACTTACAACACAGGCGGAATTTCCCTATCACCTGCATTTGTTGTCATGTTTGTCATGCGTCGCTGTCAGTTGTCATGGGAGGATGCTCTTCATCTTGTTCAAAATCGTCGCTATTGTATTTCGCCAAACGGCGGCTTTTTGACACAGATCAAGGTGAGTTTCGTGTCCCCGAGTTTGGTCAGCTTTGCATTCCTGTACCCCGACCCTTTGTCTTGCACCACAACGAAGCCTTCTGTGAGGAGCTTTATGTCCTTATGCTGTACCCCAGGAATACGAGTCGATATACAAGGCATCCGTCGCAGTCGCCGGATTTCCGCAGGGGCAGATGCAAAGAGTTGTCTCCCGGAGGAAGAGAGGTGATGACGACGACGACGAGGAATTCAGGTGTGTTCGTTTCTGGAAATTATCCCCTGTTCTTTGTGTCTCCTAAGTTTAACAATCCATCAGAGAGGAAGACCGCAAAAGGGTATTCGTCGATGACGACGCAATGGCAACGGATTTGTGACCGTCTTTCTTGGGACTTTCTTCTTTTCCTTTAGTTCAATTCTCTTTAGTCTACCACTACCGTATACTTGCTTTTAGAAGGATTTCGTGTTCTATCATGATAAATGAATGGTATAAATTCTATTGGGGTCCAATATGACCCAGTTGTCAACTGGGTATGATCTATAGTGACTTGATCTTTGCCTTCTCTTTCTCCTGCAGGACACGCTTCGCATGGACCTCTGAAGAAAGTAATCAGACATAAGGTATCCGCAGCAACAAGGCTCTAACCTTTGCGTTTTACCCACGCTTCAACCGAGATGCCCCCAAACACAATGCCCGCGCCTACCCACTGCCCAAGGGTGAGCTTGTGGTCATAAAGTACCACAGAGAGAACCATGGTGAACATCTTTCTTGTCAACGTAATCATTCTGCGAATTTGTGGTGAGTAAAGAGGGTGACAGAAACTCCAGAAAAGGATTACGAACACTAAAGTCAGCGATCCAAAATGCTGTAACGTCTCGAAGATAAACAGCTGCCCAAGAGCGCCAGTCAAAGAAAACTGGACTAGTGGTACGATAACAGAAGGATGCGTCCTTATAAACCCAATTGCATTTGCAAATTCCGATTGCAAACCGCTCGAGGGGTGAAGCACGGGGATGTGCGGCAAGGGAAGTGTTCCAAGCGCCGTACTCAACAGCGTGCAGAATAGATTGATCCAGAACATCATCTGTTGCCCGGTCACCTTGTACCGAACGAACACTTCATCTTGCGTCGAGTTCACCGCACCGTCGAGAATGAGGTTAATGACAAGGTAGAGAATGCCAATCAGCTGTCCATAAGGACCCTGCTCGCCATTGGACGAGGTTTTTGATGGCTTTTCATTCCCGAAGCCCATGAAGACACTGATGCCGGCTGTGACCATCGCGACCACGATGTATTTATGTGGAGCAAAGCGCCTCCTGTACATGACGACATTCATGAGTATCACTGGGACGAGCTTGCAGGACTTCCCCAAGACCATTGTAGGATAGGTTATGTACGAGAGGGCTGCGAAGCCGAATGGAGCAGCTAGTGTGATAAAAGCCGATACCTGGAGGTAGCGCAAGAGGAGGGTTTTGGATGTGGACGAAGAAGTGTGCGACGGTGCGCTTGAGGAATGGGCATGGCCATTTACTTTAGTGCTTGGAGATCCGTTTGTTTTGGAATTGGATGAATTGCTCGTTTGTGCCATAGAGGCGAGGTCCAAGCCCAGTAGAGACGATAGTGATGACCCTGGTTTTCCACGGATGACTATGTATGCGAGGGCAGACAGCGAGCTCAGGAAGCTCTGACAAGTTCCGAGGAAGAGTGCGGACTTGAACTTGTGTGTTGATTGTCCGTCAATGTGTTGGAACGGAACTGATACTAAGAGGCTATCTTAGTTCCTGCATTGGTTGGTTTTGATACGTTGTACCTACGTCGTTCCTGTGCCACAGCCCATAGCTGAGCATAACGCTGGTGAGGTCATCTGTCTTTCGTCAGAATTAGTGAAATTAGCATACTAGAAACATGGAGTAGACTCCGAGAACACATAGTCCAAGCCTGGCATTCAAAGCTCGTGAACATGGATGCGGGTTCTCTTAGTGAAAGGGCTCACCGAAGGACTGACATTGTGCGGGCACGCAAAGTAAAAGTGTTGAAACAAGTTTGAAATTTGAGCAACGAGCGTAGTTGAATGTAGCTAGTTAGCTGTAAAGTAGTACGTGTCAATGTAAGACCTAACCCTAAACTAGGGTGTAATATCCAAGCCCAGCTGATCACTCAGGGTAAGAATACCTTCCTTCAAACGGATCACGTCCTCTCTAGTCGGCCTACCCTGCGACGGTCTACTTGTAGCACCGGCAGTGAGCCTCTGCAGCATATCTTCTAATCCCTCCATGTCTTTCTTCTGCAAAAGTTCCTCACTCTGTCCAACTGGATCATCATTTGCATCAAGATGCTCTCTGGCGTGTTGCTCTGCTTCCTGATCGGGAGGACCGATATCGGAGAAGCGAACGCCTGCAAGCGAAGATGATATTTCGCGTGCCGTTGTTAGAGTTGTTGAGTCTTGTTGGATTTTTGAACTCAAGAATGATGTAATCGCAGAGATTACGCCACGCATTGATCCCAAATCACGACCTATTGGAGCTCCTACATGCGCGAAACCAGCGTCGAAACCTTCTTGAAGTGCGGATTCCTTGCCCGCGATTATACCTTCTCGGTATCCAGACTACAGATATATCAATCAAGGGAAGAATAAATCGTGAGTGCGCAAACGTTTGTGAACTCATTAGAGAGTTTTGCCCAGTCTGCTTCAGGAGCATAATCTGCTCGTGGATCTTCCTCCCAGGGTGAATCCATGCTGTAAAGCTGGATTCAGATGCTGACGACAAACATGTTTGAATTGTCTCACTAAGACTTCTACGAGATGATCTCCCGAGTCCGAGAGGAAATAAGTACAGTTACAAATGTTTACATAAGGATTACTATCTGCTGTCTGAAACAGACCCGTTAGCAGCGCCACCGCCACGTAGACCATTCCCTCGTTAGCTAGCAAGTCCTCGTTAGCAGCACCATGTGAATCCGATCAATCGGACCATCGAGACGCATCCAACGTCTTCCGTTGCAACAAGCTCATCCGTCACTGTGATTAGTCAAGATAAGGCCTTCGGGTATTTGATGCGGGTAGCTTGAATACCGGTAATATTCATGGAAACTGATAGAAATTGGACAACATGGAGTCAAAAAATATTACATCGCTTTGGGTTTCTACTAGCACAGGTAGTCATTTGGGATTACATGCCGTTTGGCAAGGACCTCCGATCTCCACTAGCACTAGTATAGTCAATTCATAGCCCCAGATTCAATTCAATTCAAAAAAGTATTTTCTGACTAATTATATATAATCGGATGGAAATGTGCGTGGAAAATTCGCCACGTCGGCATTCAGTGCCTTGCATCGCTACGCTTCTTGTCCTTTAACTTTTCTCAAGCGATTCCTGCTCTTATAGTACTGCTCTTCCTTCCTCGGTTTCCTTTTCTCTACAATTATTTCCTCCAGGTTTCGTCCACTAATGGCTGTCGCGTCCTCCTCGGACGTTGCAATACTCGCACTAGGCGTGGTCCTAGCTGCTGCGTATCTTTTTCGTGATTCAATATTCTCTTCTTCGACGTCCAAAGCTGTCCCGGTTGCTCCCTCGAAACTTGCGAATGGCCATGGAAACCCCCGAGATTTTATTGCTAAAATGAAGGAAGGGGTAAGCTATTAACTTCCAAGCTCCATGATCGCATCAATGTATCATATCTCTGATATTCTTGTCAGAAAAAACGTCTCATCATATTCTATGGTTCGCAAACTGGTACTGCCGAGGAATATGCAATCCGCATTGCTAAAGAGGCAAAAACCAAGTTCGGACTCGCATCCCTCGTCTGCGACCCCGAGGAATACGACTTTGAGAATCTAGATCAGATCGCCGAGGATAGTTGTGTCATTTTTGTCATGGCTACCTATGGCGAGGGTGAACCCACCGATAACGCAGTCCAGCTCATGGAAAGTTTGACCGATTCTGCATTTGAGTTCAGTAACGGTCAACATAGACTCGAGGGACTCAAATATGTCGTTTTTGGTTTGGGTAACAGGACTTACGAACACTATAATGCCATAGCACGTCAGGTAGATGCCGAACTCGAGAAAATGGGTGCAGTCAGGGTCGGCGAGCGTGGCGAGGGAGATGACGATAAGAGCATGGAAGAGGACTACCTAGAGTGGAAGGACACTTTTTGGCCTGCATTCGCTGAAGCTTTGGGTGTAGAAGAGGGTCAAGGTGGTGATACCCCAGATTTCGCTGTTACCGAATTAGAATCCCACCCTCCGGAAAAAGTTTATCTTGGTAAGGAGCCGCTGTCCATTTTTGTACGCCTCTTATTTTGGTCTGCAGGCGAACTTTCTGCACGTGCCCTTACAAAGACTAAAGGCATCCATGATGCTAAGAACCCGTACGCCTCTTCGGTCAAGGTGTCTCGCGAACTTTTCCAGGTTGGTGGAGATCGTAACTGCGTCCATGTCGAGCTTGACATCGAAGGTTCTGGGATCACGTACCAACACGGCGATCACGTCGGTGTCTGGCCTCTCAACCCTGACGCTGAGGTCGACCGTCTCCTTTGTGCACTTGGACTCTACTCCAAGAAAGATACTGTTATAAACGTCGATTCGCTCGACCCTGCTCTTGCAAAGGTTCCATTCCCCGTCCCTTCAACCTATATCAGCGTCCTCCGCCATTATATCGATATCAGTGCTGTCGCTGGTCGTCAGATCCTCGGTGTTCTTGCCAAGTTTGCGCCCTCTCCTGAGGCCGACGCGTTCATGCGTAACCTTAACTCAAATAAGGAGGAGTATGCAATTGTTGTTACGAATGGATGTTTAAAGCTTGGCGAGGTCCTTCAACTGGCTGCAGGCAATGACATCAGTGCCCACCCTACGCCCCAGAACACCACTGCCTGGGCCATTCCCTTTGATATCGTCATTTCATCGATCCCTCGTTTGCAACCTCGCTATTACTCTATCTCGAGCAGCCCCAAGCTTAACCCTACTTCTGTGCACGTGACGGCTGTTGTTCTCAAATACGAGTCCATTGCCAACAAGCTTGTTACTCCTCGTTGGGTACATGGTGTTGGCTCAAATTTCTTGCTCAATATCAAACACGCCGCTAATGGTGAGACCCCTGCCGCTAGCGAGGGGCTTGAACACGTATCGTTGCCGGCGTATGCCATCGAGGGTCCCCGCGGGGCACACAGGGCTGAGGATGTTTACAAGATTCCTGTCCATGTTCGCCGTTCGACGTTCAGGCTACCGACAAACCCCAAGAGCCCTGTCATCATGGTTGGACCTGGTACCGTAAGTCTATTTGTTAAGGTAGTTTGTAGCTTTCCGCTCACAGATACTGCTAAGGGTGTTGCGCCTTTCCGAGGGTTCGTCCAAGAACGTGTTGCTCTTGCCCGCCGAACACTTGAGAAAAATGGTGATGATGCTCTGGCAGACTGGGGTCAAATCTCACTCTTCTACGGTTGCCGTAAGTCAACGGAAGACTTCCTCTACAAAGACGAGTGGCCACAATACACTGCCGAGCTAAAGGGCAAATTCACGATGCACTGCGCATTTTCGCGGGAGCCGCCGTACAAGTCCGACGGTAGCAAGATTTACGTGCAGGATCTCATTTGGGACGACCGGAAGAATGTCGCTGACGCTATCTTGAATGGGAAGGGATATGTATACATATGTGGTGACGCTAAAGCGATGAGTAAGGCAGTAGAGGAAGTTCTAGCACGAATTTTGGGCGAAGCGAAGGGTGGGAGTGAGGCAGATGGTGCGGCCGAGGTCAAGCTAATGAAGGAACGCTCACGGTTAATGCTGGATGTCTGGAGCTAGAGGGTATTATTGGTGTAGGTTGCTTATTTGCCAGCTCATGACACGTCAACGCACTGTGACACGACACTCCGATATTATATTGCAATAGACTTATGTAAACTGCACGAACATTTGTTCCGTTGCACTTTTCTTGCAGCTTATCTGTTGGCGGTGTTATTATCTCATAGGCAAGTCCTGATACTTAAAATAGTTGTTTCATCAGGCGCTACCTGGCGCTACCCAGATCTATCGCTTGTCGGGGCGGCTCGGAAGCACTGCTCAACTACTTTGGTCCAGGCGTTATCATGTTGCGGACTAGGGCATGGAGACCAGCGAACAATCTACGCACTTTCTCCCATTCATGTCTGCGCCCTAATGCGCAATCAACGACTTCCCTGTCTCCGGGGCCGTCAAATGTTGACTCGCAAGCCCAACCCCACCGGGAAACTCATGCCAACGTGCCTGAGGGCGTTAGATCTCCACCCGGAACTGCGTCTGCTGGTTCAAAAGTCCAGCCTGCCGACTCTCCTCGCCGACTCAACTCCAAGATATCCGCACGCGATCTAGACACCATCAAACAGCGCATCGGAGATTGGATAGCACTTGCAACTGCTGGATTCAAGCAGCAAACAGACGAACTCCGCCAACGCACAGACGAGTTCACGCAGAGGACGTCCGCAAAATTTTTTCAATTGGGCTCTCAACTCAACCGCGTAACAGGCTACGAGCAGATTGATGCGCTTAAACAACGGGTAGTCGAACAAGGTGTGCTGCATTCCCTTACTGTGTCTGTGCTACAACTGAGACTTATGTTGACCAAGAGGCTAGAATCAAGGCTACTCGTCAAGCAGCTCGAGAAGCTAAGACGGCGTATGATGATGCTGTCTTACAGCGCTCTCTTTCCCAGCGCCAAGTGAATGAGCTCTTGCAGCGTAAATCTTCGTGGACAGACAGCGACGTCAGCGCCTTTACTTCTCTCGTGCGTTCAGATCACCACCTGGAACAGCACGAGGTCGCGACGAAAGCCAAGGTCTCCGAGAATGAAGATGCGTTGGATAGAGAGTTTGGAGAGCTCATGCGCGCCATTCTGGCTAGGTACCACGAGGAGCAAGTGTGGAGTGACAAGATCCGAAGTGCGAGTACCTATGGGAGTATGATGGTGCTTGGGGTCAATGTGGTGGTGTTCATACTGGCGATCGTGGTGGTTGAGCCATGGAAGAGGCGGAGACTAGCGCAAACGTTCGAAAAGAAGGTGGAAGAGATAGCTGCGGAGACCCAAGCTTTGATAGAGTCTGGGAGTGCAAATTTGGACAAGCGGCTGGTAAAGCAGGAGCGATTGATCTCAGAGATTGTGGAAAGGGCGGCATACGATGCTCGAGATCTGCCCAGCTCGTTGCCAGCGCCAATTGTGGCAGTATCTGAATCTGTCGCTGGGAGACAAGTGAGCACTTGGCTGGAGCACTCGTCTATATGGTCATATCCGGTATCACGAATGATTCAAGACCGGGAGGTACTGCTTATTGTGGGCAGCGCTATTGCAGGTGGTGCAGTCACCCTTGTGGCTCGAAATCTTTTCGGAAGTTAGTGTCGGTGAGAGGTTTTGCACACTTATGCGAGCCGACTCCTCTCACCAGCTAGCGCTTCTGAATCTCATAGCGACACCAGTGTACCTAGTCGTTTAGATCTAGACCCTGCACACTATGCTCCATTAATATTATTGCAACCACCACACCGCACGATAGGGGCCGGGCCGCCTTTAGAAGTTCACGTGATTTAGACCTTGACAAAGTGGCACTTTCCATAGTGTAGTGGCTGTGCTAGCTGCCATGAAGGTCGTTACCACCTTTCACCCGGCGTCATCTGTCGTAGATTCGCTCAAATTTAGGTTGAAAGATGAGCAACCCTCAGAGTTTCTTGTCGTTGCAAAGCCAAATAGGCTTGATATCTATGCGCTACTTCCAGAAGGGCTCCGTCATCAACAGGGTCTTGATATCTGGGGAAGAGTCAGGGTTATCAGAGCTGTGCCAGTCTTGGTGAGCAACAACCTGCACTGTAGTGTCATATTAAGACCATGGGGCTCGTTTTCTAGAGCAGGAGCAGTATCAGCCTGCTCGTGCTTACCGATCACCCGGAGCCAGAGCTTATATTCCTATCTTTTACTGTGAATGGCGCAGGATCAACGGGGATTACTGTCACGAAATATCTTCCATTATTTGAGCACAGTGCTCGGCCGGCAGAATTCTGTCACACCCTTCTGGTCGACCCTTCAGGGGGTGTGGCTGTCGTGAGTGCGTACACAGGCAAGCTCAAGGTCGTGGTGCTTGACCAAAACGGAGGATATGACCGTGACTTTGATGCATCGTATGTCGTGGCATTATTCGCGCTAATTGTGCTCACGCTTTCTCGTCAGAATAACTGAGCTCAACCTTCTGGACATCACTTTTGTGTCAACATCTCGGGATATGTATACCTTGGCAATGATGCATATCGACTACCAACAACGCCTCCAGCTTCTTACTCGTGACCTTTCTATTGAGGATCTACAGCTTTCCCCGTTACCCTCGCCACTCCTCCCCTCACTCCCTGTCCCAGGCAAACTGTTTAGTACAGTCATGGACGACGATGGAACCCCTACTATCATATACATCCCCTCTTACAATGATGACGACGATGATTTCGAAGGTGGTATCCTCATTATCGGTGGGCGAAAGATCATGCTGTATGATTTTGTGGACGTCGAAACACGGGCGAAGAGGGAGAGCAAGAAGAAACGTGCAGATAAGAGGAAAACTACTGGAGATGCAGAAGCAAATAATAAAGAGAAGGGGGTGGAGTGGAAGAAACGGAAAGCTAGAGCCGCAGTAGAATGGCCATGGGCAGAAGTTACTGCGTGCGTTCCGTTTGTAGAATCGAGACTGCGGGCTCACCTGGTGTTAGATGGTGTCGTATTGACGATAAGGAGCGAAAGTACTTGATTGGGGACCGCTATGGAAGGCTCGCGTTGCTTTCGATAAACCTTTCTGGAGGCACGACGCTGACATTGATGGCGCTCGGAGAGGTAGGTCTGCTCAAGTCCCGCTGATCGTTCTTGTGCTGATCGTGTTCACTAAGACATCTGCATCAACCACATTGACCTATCTTGCTAATCAAGTTTTCTACAACGGCTCACACTTTGGTAGCTCGCAGTTGCTCCAGATTACCACTACTCCATCTTCTGTGCTCGACGCCCCTACATTGCCTGTTCCATCCACGATATCGACCATCAACCCTAATGCACTCAACTCCCATGTGTCAGGTAGAAACAACGATGTATCGGGTTATATCGTCGTTGGAATGGGGAGTTACGTGACCGAGCTGGAGTCCTTCAACAATCTCGCTCCAATACTTGATGCTGTGTTGATCGACACGGATGGCAGTGGACAGGTATGTCAAATCATTGTCCACTGACTTCGTGGGCTGAAGTGATGTAGAACGAAATTGTAACATGCTCTGGTGGCAGAAGCACGGGGAGCATCAAAGTCATACGGAGTGGCGCGGACTTTCCGAGAAAGCGACAGTTCAGGGGCTCGGGAATGTCACCCATATCTGGCCACTGAAAGAGATGTACTGTGCGCCGTAAGTTTTTCATTCGTCCCGACATCTTTTAGAACCGCTGACGATGTAATTCAGCGATTATGCGCACATCGTGGTCTCAACTCTGCAGGAAACGCACGTTTTTCGTTTTGACAATGCTTCATCAATCTCCAGTATCGACGGCGACAAAAATACCGGTTTTATCACCGATTTACCTACTATCGCAGTTTCAAATATCCTTCGACGCACGCGCAACGCGGAAAATAAGTCTGACTATGTAGACTCTAGGTTTGTTATACAGGTCGTTTCGAAAGGCCTGCTATTACTTGAGTATGACCCCGGCGTGCGACAGTACTCGAGAGCTAGTGAACTATGGACCTTGGAAAAGTTTGCGGATCCTGGTAAGGAGGGACTGTGGAAGGGGCGAGAGATTGTAGCTGCAAATATCAACGCGAGTCAGGTTGTGCTTGCACTCAACTGGGGGAGGGTGGTAGTGTTGACTCTGAATGTGGATGACAAGCGATTTATCAAGCTGAGGTGAGTATGAGCATCTAGGCGAAGATCTGATTGATTATTTGTGCATTACTACAGGGAGCGCAACTTTGTGCACAATAATCGCGATGCGGAGATTTCAGCAGTTTCGTGTCTTCCGCAGGATCAAGCCAAGCCCTTCGCGTTAAATATTGTGGTCGGATTCTGGACATCTAAGCACGTCGAGATACTCTCACTGAGACCCACAGATGGGACCATGCCCACAATTGCAACGACCCCTATATTCTCCTCTGCACCCCGCTCACTGCTGTTGTACAATTTCATATCTGGCGACTCCAAGTTGTCAAATGTACACCTACTCATCGGGCTCACGGATGGTTCTATTGCGTCATTTGTGTATCGAAATGATCAACTACTTGACCAGAAACTGGTTTCCATTGGAAGTCTTCCCGTAACAATGCGTTCGTGTCGGATCGGTACGAGACAAGCAGTGCTTGCATGTGGAAGCCGGACAGCAATTTTATTCTGGGAAAAAGAGAGGTTGATGTATTCGCCACTTATACTCAAGGTCTGTGATGCTTTTCTCGACATTGTTCTTGACCAACCAGTTCGTAGGACGTGACAGCTGCAGCGGAATTGAGTACAAGTGCTTACCCATCGTCCATAATCCTTGCCAACTCCGATGGCCTGGTCTTCGGGAACGTGAACAACTTCGATAAATTGCATATTCGCTCTGTGGGTCAAAAGACTTACCTTTTATTGGAGTCCAGCTGACAGTTAGTTCTCAGATACCCCTCGGCCTCAACAATCCCTTACGCGTTACGCATATTCCTGCGCTTAGAGTTTTTGCCGTCGCATGTCGTTGCATAACCCCGGCTCGTGTCGGCGATTTGGAGGATATCAGGGGTTCCATACAAGTCTTTGATGACATATCGTTTAATAGTGAGCCAAGTCCAACGCACAAAAAAGTTTTCTGATGACATGACATAGAGCTCGGGCATTTCAATCTGGAGCAAGGCGAGGAACCGACGTCACTGCTGTCCTTCACAACGAATTCCGGATCGTATCTGTGTGTAGCAGCGGTGACACTCGAAGATGAAGATACCGAAGCCTCCAAGGGACGCGTTTTTGTTCTGGAGATGACGTCGAACGCATTGCAGGTAAACATGTCTGTCGCAACCTCGTATAACGTCAAGGGATGCCCCTACGCTTTGACTTCCGTGAATTCTATGATCGCTGCCGCAGTTAATAGCATGGTGATGAATCAGCATATAAATTGTATATTAGCCACTTATTTGTTCTACAGGTCGTTGTCTTCAAGATGGACACAGAGAGCGGAAATATGATAATGGCGAAAATAGCAACGTGGAACCATAACTATCTAGTGACCAGTCTCGCGTCTCGCGGCGATATCATTCTGTTAGGTGACGCAATCAGCTCGATCTCAATGTTGCGGCTCGAGGACAACCGACTGCACTTGATTGCCAGAGATTATGGCGCACTGTGGCCCACCTGTGTCGAGCTCACAAGCAACTCCACCCTGATTGGTGCAAATGTAAGCCGAGGTCCATTGTTTGACGTTGTGCACTCAATCTCTTGTGTTCAGAGCGAATACAACCTTTATACCTTCAGTCTCCAGAACTCGGGCACGCGGCAGCTCCTAGAGAGAGACGGAAATTACTTCCTTGGGGACTTGGTCAACAAGTTCCTGCCTGGTGGGCGTACCCCTTATCGTGACTTTCCCATGCTTATGCATATTAGGCACACTGTCGTCTCAGGAGGTTTCGCTCGATGCGCCGATGCAGCCCCAACAGTTATTCTTTACGTCTGTCGGCCTTATCGGTGCCATCATCGATCTTGCCGATGACCTTGCATTGGACCTCACCGGCCTTCAACGTAACTTGTCCAACTATATCCAGAAACAAGAAGGGCCAAATCACACAAAGTGTGTCATAAGCCGTCACTTCCAATAGTCATCCAATTCACTTTGCACATAGGTACCGCACGCCAAAGAATGTCCGCGGTCGCAGTGACGCGGATGCGTCGTCCTTTGGGTTCCTCGATGGCGACTTCCTGGAGCGCTTCTTACAGTTTGTGGGAAACCCCCAAGCGCTCAAGCGGATTATGGATGGACAAAGTGAGCCTGAAAAACTCACGATATCAGCAGACAGGATTCAGAAGGTGCTTGAGAGCATGCAAAGCATGCATTGATCGAACGAGGGATTAACTGAAGTTGCAATTTGATTACTCTAAACCAACTCTCAACTTCATTAACCGTCGAATGCGAGTATCCTGTTATAGAGATAAAGATTAACTACGACTACTGATCGTTATATCAAACGAACGGATGGTAGTTGGAGAGAGGGTAACCATACGCGCGTAGTATTTGTGTTCCTACGCCCAGAGGGCCGCATACAACTGTGAGACGACAGAAAGAGCCCCAATATCTCCAACCACAACAACGTCTTCCTGGTCATTAGACTTGCGCGGAGCGAAATAAAATCCGGAAACAAGGACAACGTAGCTGTGACACATCAACATGTCGTACAATATAACCCAAGATAGATACTTACCTCAAAATGAGGATACTTCCACGGTGGTAATTACTCTTGGCCTCGATATAGGTATAGGTCATCAGAAAGACGGACAAGATGATCGCGATGACATCCCAGCGCGGGAATACGAGCCTAGAGAGATATAAGGGTAAATGAATTTATCACTAACAACATCACGAGCATGTTTTGATACGCACGTAAATGCATTCGTGATCTCACCCATTTTGTCGGGCGCATACCAAGCGGAGAACGCAACCATGGCCGGAATCTGGAGCAGACAGACCTGCAAGGCATAGGCAGAGCCAATCTCAACACTGGGGAAGAAAGATCACAAACGGTTAGGTGTGAAGGGAGACAAACAGGCTGAAGAGTACCTTAGCGAGATATTTCCGTTCAGGGCAAACGAGATAGCATTCATGAATTCCGTAGTATTGGGCACCAGCGCGAACAAAGTGATTCCCAAGAACTTTTCCTCGATCCCAGAGTCTTTCAGTACGACGTCTACCATATCCACAAGGAGCTCTAGTGTCCCGATTAATCAGCGACTACACCAAAATCGGGAATGAAAATGCAGACGTACCGGCAATGACGGCATATAAAGCCGTACATGACAGTAACACTGCCGCACTTGTTACACGGCTCCACTCTGGTGCCTCGTGTCCATGAGCTGATCCATGTTCCTCCTCAGCCACGCTTGCGCGGGCTGCCCGAGTATGCGCGTGCTGGTGGCGAAGGGCGCTGACAGTTGCGACAGCTACTGCACGCGTAAAGTCATCGGTAGACATAGTAGAGGGCAGGGGCAGGGCACCGGTAGACTTAATGGCATGGTCAACGGACTCGAGAAGAGGTGTGTAGTGTGTTTGAGATTGTGCGCTTTGGGGAGTGGTATGCGGGGCGTAGGAAACACGTCGAAGCATCGAAGGGGAAGTGAGAGGTACGGTATTCACCGTCGGAGCGATAAGATGTGGGGCCGGGGTCTGAAATCGGGGATCGTCCTCGAACCGCATTCGCTCACGGGACCCCTCCGGCCGCGGACGTGGCTCGCGAATAGTCGGTGGAATCTGCGACGGCGGGGATTGCGCCGTACTCCCTGTGGTTGCACTGGAGTGAGGACGGTTATGTTGGTAGAGCGAGAGGCGAGATGGATTCGTGGGTGGAAGGTCGAGGGGCTGCAGGAGCGGTTGTGGGTTCTGCCATATCTGAGTGGCATGTGTGCGGAGAGAAAACCACAGGCCTATCAAATACGACTACGGCGAGTATAAGTGTTATAAGTATTGTACACATCAAAATAGAGAGGGGGACTCACAAACAGTAAAATCACAGCACAAAAGTACATGAGGCTCTTCACTGTAGACTGATAAAATGGATCTTCAACAGGGTCCGGGTGCTGGTAATAGCACTGGTCGCATTTCCACTCGGACGAGCCGCGGGAGCCGTCAGGACATCCGCTACAAATTAGCTGGAACTGTAGCAGGGTCAATATATGTTTTCTGCCGGAAATACACAAAAGGAGAAAAAGACTTACATTTCCATATGTTTGATAGAACAACGTCGGTGTTAGCGTTCCAATAAATGCCATGATTAACATCATGCTCGTTACGCCTGCGCTCTTGGCATTGAACTTCATCTCCTTCTTCCTCAACGCGCCGGCGCACATACTCATACCAGGCATCAGCAGTACCCCCGCTAATAAAGATCCCACAATAGACCCTTCAACGAGACGTCCTTTGCCTACGGTCAACGCGATAGAATAGAGGACGACTTCGACGACACTTCCAAATGTGGCATTGATAACGGCGCCCATGCCGATAGAGCTTTGGGCGCTGATGCTCGCCACAGCCATGCCAATGAAGTAAGAAAGAGGAATGACACTCGCAAGACTCATAAGGAAAATGAGTGCCTTTGAGGCAACGAGGGCAAGGATGCGAGGGACATGCTCGCCTGCATGCTCCAGATCCTCTGCCATAGGCATGAGCACGAATCCATCGAGGATAACGAAGAAGACAAGCGGGAGGAGATTGACGAAAATGATATTAACGCCTCCAACAGTGTATTTGTAGTATTTCCATCCAACAGCACGATAGACACATAGCAGTACGGTGCTCTTATGGCCAGTCGTAGAAGGGACAGCCTGACCAGCCGCGAGGCGGGGTGTCTTGGCTGCACTAGGTGGGACGAGTGGCGCAGCACAGAAGCGTATCCGGGTAGGAGATGCGAATATGTATTTGATGAGAGCCCAGTTGAGCTTGGCCATCGGGACAGTGATAATGAGTGCCCAGCAGGCAATGCAGGTGAGCAGAAGGAGTGGGGCAACGAGCGTTATGAATAGGATCCAGAAGATGGCCCTGCCCAACCAGTCAGCGGATATCTTGTCATACGGCGTATGGTCGGTCGGGCTTGGGGCGGCTCCGTAAGATTTGGAGGGAGCTGGAGGACGGAGGAAAGTTTGTTCGCTATTAGTATTTGGGGTGATGGTGGGCGTGCGAGAGAGGGACGTGTTGGCATTAACAGTGCCAGCGCTACAAATAGGCCCAACATCCCCGGGTGGGAGTGTGCTTTCTTCGTCATTGCCCTCAGCATCCCCTTTGACATACTTGCCAAATGGCCATGCGAGGTACCAACCCAAACCGAACATGAGGACAGCATAGCGTTTGCCACCAAGTGGAACGAGACACAACAAAGCAGAGACGGCGAAGCAGGCCAGCGCAAGCCACCAACCAAAGCAGAAAACCCAGAAAATATTTCCCGGGAGGAGGTGGCGCTCTGCCTGAGCAGAAGGGACAGAGTGTAGCGCAGCATCCGCATGGCGAGTGACGGAGCGCGATTTCTTGTACAATGCAGGTTTCCAAATGGGCAAACCAAAGGGATGCTGAACGTTGATGAGCGACTGACGATCTTTGACTGTAATAGGATCATCATCATCTCTGCTGTTTGAGTCATCGTGTTCCGAGCCTGTCTCTCGTTCTTCACTATCCCCTTCTTCTTCCACTTCTCCCTCCTGGTCTTGTGAGGATGCAATACCTTTGCCACGATCTCTGCTTCCCCCAACACCTCTGTCATTGACATTATCTTCATAGCTAACCTCTTCATCCTCGCTGAGCACATCGTTATCCCTGATTGAACGGCGAGGGTGACGAGAGCTGCTGGTACTGGTGCTGCGGGTGCGGTTGTTTGATAAACTATGGCTAATGGATGGCTGTGGGTACAATGCCCGCGGTGTCGGTGATGAGGAAGAAAAGTAGGATGTCCCTACATTATGGTGCGTTGGTGTCTCAGTGGGTGACCAGTGCGAACTATGGCTTCTGCTGCGGTGGATATGGAGGTGACTGGTTGGAGTGGGCGTCGTAGAGAGCTCTTGGTTGTCATGGTTGTCCATGTTTACTGGACTTGAGTTTGGGATGCACTTGCACAAGCAAGTACTCTAGTGTTCCTACCGACTAGTCTCTCGTGACGAGGCAGGTCCAGTACAAGGAAGAACCTCTCAAGACAGTTACATGATTACGTTCGAAATTCTGCATTAGGTAGATCTATATATATATCACATATACCGTACGTACCTGCAAGGACTCGGACGTCCTCAGATTTCAGGTAAGGACTCCCGCCGTAGCCTCCAAAACATATAGACCCTTTGACGCTGCCATGTGTTGCAAATCTCCAACTTGAAATAGATTATTTTTTCAGGCCCTACCATAATTTATAATCGAAGAAACAAATGATACCTGATAACTTGAAGGACTTCTAGTTCTCTCTACAGTTTTAGCAGGGTTTCTTATGATGATAAGATAATTTGGATCTGCATTCAGACACTCAGACTCCATCGAGGCCCTTGCCGCTTTAGAATCTCCAACTGCAGCTCACGAAAATCAGTATTTTTACCTCTGGCGGATCGTCTCGGATCGGAGGGACTGCCAACGGACATTATCACAGATCATGGTTATGACCCTCAAAGACCTTGAGGTACTCATCAGACACCTCCCGGACTTTCTGGATCACGGTAGTTTTGCGCCCCTAGGTCGTGGTGGTACATATGCAAATATGTAGGGTTGTCTCCTAGGGGAGTTAGTGTCCACGTTGACATCCTGCTGACGTCTCTCCTCCTTGTCTCCGCTGTCAATGACATGGTACATGATATTTACTTTTATTGTGTTTTTCATCTCATCAATATTCCGTCAACGTCATACATCCCTAACCAATTGGCGCATACTCAAATACGCAACCTCCACGGATCGTGAAATATTTATGGCATTATATACTCCACTGGTCACAATATTCTCCCGGGCGCTGCTCATGCATCTTCATGTGCCAGTGCGTTCGCATTTGAATTTGCGTCTGTCCTGTCCTGTCTTTGACCTGTTTCGCCAAACACCAGACAAATCCACATACTTGTAGTGGTGTTGTTTGGGGCTCAGCCTGGGCCGAGCAGCCTACAGTTCTACCCTCAGAGCTCACTATGTAACCATGTCTTGAGATCCTTACATTGCGTCGCGGTACATCCATATCAACATACTATACGTTGTTTCTTCTCTCGATAGAAGTTCCCTAGGTGCTTCATCGCCTGGCCAAAGGTCTCACAGACTGCCACATCATCTCTTAGCCATTGCGGTAGTTTCCCGCGAATCGCAGGTGACGTGAACCGCCGATCGATAAGTACGAGAGAAGCCCAATCACCACGATGTCGGATGGCTCGGCCTTGCGCAGGGCTTAGTAAACGTTTTGAATATATTACAACCATCAGATGTGCTCACCTATACTCTGATTGACTGCGTTCATGCACATGTTCTCATACATTTCTGCTGCTGCGTCTTTACCACCAGCATGTCTCCTTACAGCAGATCGTGACTCTATTTGATTTGCGTGCCGCATCCGCTCCTGCAGCTCCGGAGAATTTTTGTTGGCAAAAGGTAACCCAATTACAACAACAGCACGAGCGAGATCATCCGAAAAGTTCAGCCCTTCTGAAAGCTTAGCACCGATAACTGCAAACAGTATTGCGCCAGTCTTCTTATCTAGTAGTGTCTTCAAAAGAAAATATTTATGATGGCGGAGAAGCAACAGCTCATTAGACTTACATGTGTTTTGGCAGCTATAGCATACTCCCGTAGGATTATTTCAACTCCTGAACTTTCCTGTGGTTCCAAGAAGACCTAAACACATAGTCAATAAGCCGTCTCCTATGACTGAGAGGCACTTACTTTTTTCTTCACGCTGAATTTGTCTAATGATCCACTCTGGCTCCAAGCTTCTCTTGCAAAATTCAGTGATGCATAGGAAGGGAAGAAGACAACTATTCCTCCAGGCACGACGTTGCAGAAATTCAATACGATCTGACCTAACTCGGACACGACCTGCCGATTGCTCTGTTGCGCGAACTTGAACTCTAGGTCCAAGCCTGAAGGCCCTTTCGTAAGCAACAATGTCTGCACGTTGGATGCCGGGATAATATGACCACAAGAGAAAGTCGTCAGCCTGTTTAGAGGCAAATATGTGAAAAGCTCGGACACTACAGCAGACATCTATCTCCGACGTCACTGTATTGCAAGAAAATTAATGGAAGCTGCTTACCGGCGACATGGTCCCACCAGCAAGCACCACTGAACGTGCCACCTCCACGACATCGCGGAACAACGCCGATGGATTCAGTAGCTGGTATTTAATCTCGACAGCATCTCCAACAGCAGAGAAGATTAATCTCCCGTCTATAACAATGATGAACAAAGAAACAACTTCGGTGTGGCTTAGCCCACCTTCACTTGCGCCCGCCAGTCCCAACATCAGTGCTTCAATCGTATGCAGTGGCGGCGTGGCCACACCCGATGAATTTCCAGAATTTTCCCCTGCAAACTCAATGATATGATCGCGCCCTTGTCAAGGTGTACAAACCTTCAGAAACATCGACAGCATAACGAGATATCTTCCGTGCTATCTGCGAGTAATTAGAAAAAACACATAATCAAGCTAGTGCAACGTACTTTGCTGCGCTTAAGATACGACTCAATTTCAAGGAGATTAATACCCTCGACTTTTCTCCCGAGCCTGTGGATGAAATCTTGCACGGTCATAACTTCAGTATCTTGGCTTTTGGATTTGGCGCTCAATTTCTGGGCTATCCAATCCATTGCGACTCTCTGGAATGCATCCAGGAAATTAAGAAGCCTCTTCAGATGCAATGCATGCATTGCAGACAGCCGGTTGCGAAATTTTTTGTAATACACTGAAACCTGTTTCAATGAGGTCGATAGGATATTGGATGTGAGGCGGACACTTGAAAGTGATAATAGAGTTGGTATCAAGTCTGAGGCAAATTAAGTCACTATAGAGGGTGGTCTAGGTGAGATGCATACTATGCGCCTCATCAATGATAACGACCTGGTTAGTCAAGTCGATTCCCAGGGCTTCTCGGGCGGTCTTCTGCAACAACAGGTTATAAGGCAGAGTAATAAGCTGAAAATTCAGCATGAGATCCAGCAAGGCACATCAATGGAATTACTTGCTGACCTCTGCCTGAGGTATCGCTCGTCTAGATCCGTAATAAGGGCAAGTCTGTGTATTTTTTCCAGCAGTGGCAAGGTCTTCTATGTCTTTCGGTGACGCCTTGAAAAGAACTCATCAGCACCGTTCACTCGAATGTACCACCTTCACTAACCAGAATCTGATCTCGTAGATCAAGCATGCGGATGTCATCACCCACCGGAGGCAAATATTGACACCGTTTATTTTGCTTCCCTGTGAGTATATCCACGATGATCAATGAACACTTGAGTCTTAACTGATTTGGTACCTTCCAGTAATTCCCGGCATCTCTCGTCTATATCTCCTGGCCTTGACCTTGCGTCCTCGTTAATACACAGCTGTTTGCGAGATCCAAGGGATACAGTCCGCCACCGACGCAGATCAGCTTCGCACTTATCACTATCTACGTCCTCGAGGGCCCGTTTCTTTTGGCAAAGATCGCGATCAGCTCGAGACATGTTTCCCACTGTGCTCTCATCTGGAACAGTACTGCCCAAAGCGAGATGTTTGAACTTGAGCTTGGTCAATTCGGGCAGGACCTGTGAAAGTTGTGAATGTGTGCGAGAAGCATAATATATTTTCGTGCAGGACGGCTCGTCTCCTTGAGAGGCTGGATCACGTTTGTTATTCCTGTCCATTCTGTTCGTAAATGTTAGTTTTGTCTCACATCAACAAAGTTTGACCCTGACTTTGCCATCAGAGCGCGAACAGCGGGGGAGAAGTTATTCTGGCTATCTTCACAGTCATCGTCTGGAAGATATGCGTCCTCGCCAACATGGTCTCGCACAAGGTCGACTGTCACGCGCTACTTGGATGGAGTAAATAGGTTGAGCCCAAATGTGAATATCGAGGGCACGCACTTGCTTTTTGGCAACCCGTGCCCGAGCCAGCATACGAAAATGAGCCTCGGTCTTCCGAGCTTTGGCGAGGCGTTCCTCGTATTCCTTATCCTCTGCCTCCAACTCGCGCTTCCGAATATCGAGAGCCTGAGCTGCTACCCATGATGGCGCTGATGTGGCTTTAGGATGTTGCTTGCAAGACCTACAGAGACCTACCACTGACCGGTACTCGAGAGGGACTGCTGCAATAACTGGCCTTTGCGCGCGCGGTCTTTCTCGTCCACAAGCCACGATAGGCTCGAGCACAGCAGACTTAGCGTCTTACCCTGATTCTCTGCGTCAGAAATTAGTTGGTCAGCTGGTACAAACACTCACGGTGCCTGTAGGACTCTCCACGATGGTAACATGCCTTTTCTCGATTGATGTATAGATGTGACTCATCAAGTCTATTTGTATCGAATACGGCGGATCGTATGGAAATGCTGGGAAATTGCTTGGAGTGGAAAGGACGAGGTCATCGTTGTCCATGCCGAACAGCAGTACTGAGGTGCTCGAACGCGTAACCGAACGCGTCAATCACTTCACTGGCACCTTGAAAATTCACCGGTGCGCCACACAATGCAGTGATATGGAGTGTGAAACGGAGCTTGGGTGATTTATAAGATGATGTGAAGATGTAGTACACTGTGTCTGGAACTAGTGCATATAGTGGAACATTGCGGATAGTGAAAACAAAGGATGGATGTAGCCAAGCGTAAGTGTGGCAGTTACTACTTAGATAGGTAGAGTACAGTGAAAATCATACAACTTGAACTCTTGGGGTATGGTGACGAGCAAGCTCAGTAGAGAATGTAATGTTATCATCATGTCGGCCGATACTCCAGTAACCAAATCTTTGCTGCACCGTATTCCTCTTTGACGCGTTTTAGTAGCGAAGTCACTTCTTCAACGGTCTTGTCTCCAGGTGTACCCTTGGCCATATTCTGTATCTTCTCGCAAGTTAATGAAACATGCTTCACGCCCAGTGCGGCTGACGAGCCCTTCAGAAAGTGACCCAGGTCTGATATTTTCTTCAAGTCTTTGGTCTCCCTATGTTAGAAAAGTCAGATTCTAGAGTGGTCATTCCAATAACAAGAATTCATACATGGCCTTATCCATCTCATTAAATGTGGAATCGACCTGCGCAAGATAGTCGGAGATCATCCCTGATAGAAATGAGCTGTCCCCATCATCCTCATCATTCAGCTCGACTATCTGGTTGAAGACTTCCATATCGATTATGTCTTCTTTACTGGGCTGGTAGAACGATCAGTGATCATCATCACAAGGCAAACAATATAACGAGATGGGCAGGGGCTGAGCGCGGGGTTCCCGGGGAACGCTCTGCTTCCAAGCGCATGCATACAAACAAACCACTCCAAGCTGGCGACATACCTTGCTCTCCTTCTTCTCAACCTCTTTCAAGTCGTTCTTCTCCTTGAGTGCAGTAATAGGCGAGCCTGTCTTTGCCGTTGGCTCTTCCGAGGCAGGCCGCGATTTGACGTCTAGCTTCTTCTGTGGTGGGGCTTTGTCGGAAGGAGACGGTGGTGGACGCTTGACAATGTCATCAATGATATTCGGCGAACGAGCACGCAGAGCATGAGACATGAAGGGAATCCTGGCCTTGTTCACTGACAAAAGGCAGCGTTCTGAAATAACAATCGGGGTAGCGGCTCTAGGACGTCAGGCCGTAGGGATTCGGGGCTATGCTTAAAGTAGTTCACTGATTATCTGTTGCCGCCGCAGTGCCGCTGCCAAATATGTAGCATCATTGACAGATTCACGATTTCACTGGCTATCTGAGCTAGATCGTCATCTCATTTTCTACATAATATCCCCCTAGCCGGCGGACTCAGGCGGACCCGCGCCCATAACCCAAACTCTCAATGAGATCGGCAAATCCTTGTCTCAGATAATCTGGCGAGCCCTCAATTCGGCGATCTCATTCTGAGAATACCCTAGTTCCAGCATGACCTAAAACGAATTCACCATCAGAAACCAAAATGCACAATGCACAGTGAAATGCAATTCAGAATGAGGGTGGCGAACCAAAAAAACCCCAAGATATCACTGGCACGTGCACGTACCTCCTTTGTATGCTGTGACAGCCAGGGCGGTGGTCGTCTCACCGGCATCCTCTTTCCATTGTAAGTAACAGGTGGAGCCACCATCTTCACTTTCCCTGCTCGTGGGTGCTATTCAATGAATCAATTCGACATAATCAAACCAAAGTCTATCACATGAGGACGGGGGATACGTACATCAACCTCCACCGTAGCCTGCCGAGCGCCAACTTGCGGGTGCGCAAACGACTGTTGGATATTATTGATTGGCCCAAACGGTACCCTGCACGGACATGCGCGTGTGAATATCTTGGCAGATGGATCATACATAAGTAGACATCATGCACGACGCACCCTAATCCCGTGAAGCGGTCGATCCAATAATCCCTTTCGTGTCTTTGGAGCACTTGGGTAATAATGTCCACCAATGCCTCCCTGTTTGCTACCCGCGTAGCATTACTAACAAACCTCGCATCATCCGCCAGCTCGGGCTTCTCTAGAATCCTTTCGGCAAGCAGTCGGAACTAGCGTCGCATGTGCCTTGGAGTCAGGCCGATTAGAACTGCTTATCAGTGGTACTGCCCACCTGCTTGTCGTTGCCCGCGCCAATCATGAGAAATCCGTCTTTGCATGGGAAGACTTGGTAAGGAACGATGGACGGGTGGGCAGTTCCGTGCCGAGAGGCCTCCTTTCCGGCGATGAGATAATTCGACGCTATATTCGCAAGACTCGCAAGCTAAGTATATACAAGAGAAACCGTATTGGTAAACATTAGAAAGCCAAACAAGGAGATAAACATGCGATAGCCACTGCACCTGTGTCTCAAATAAGTTGCAGTCTATCCAAACACCTTTTCCCGTGTGCTGTACGGAACGCAAACCAGCAAGGATTGCACCGTGTGCGTAAAGACCTGTCATCAAGTCTGTCACCGCAACGCCCACTTTAGATGGTGGACGATCAGTTTCGCCTGTGCTACAATCCATAGAAGGCAAGGCATAAGACTCAAGATATCGCATGGAAGCGCCTGAAACACAGCATACATACATGTGCATCAGCCCAGCTTCGGCTTCAATGATGACATCGTAACCCGCAGCTTCGCGAAAAGGGCCTGTCTGTCCATACCCTGATTGGGTCAACTGAATTGGATACTGATAGCAGGGAAAGTGAAGCTCAGACAAACCGGTGATGGAAGCGTACACAAGCCGCGGATTAAGCACCTTACAATCCTCCCAACCGAGACCCATCCCTGCGAGCTTTCCTGCAATAAAATTTTCTACGAGCACATCGGAACTGCGAACTAGCCTCTGCACGACCTCGAGTCCCGCAGGATCCTTGAAATTCACAGTGATAGAACGCTTGTTTCGATTCACAGCGAGGAAATATGCAGATTCAGGTGGGAGGTGTGACGATTCTTTCGGAGTATTCGGGGAGACGGGAGCAGAAGGAGGTAACCAGGAGCCTGTTTTTTTTAGACAAGAAACGGATGCTTAGGCCAGCACAGGCCACTCACGAGTGTCGTCGCCGCGGGTGACCTCCTCAACTTTGATGACATCTGCGCCCATGTCTGCGAGAAGCATGGTGCATGATGGGCCTGCTAGCACACGAGTGAGGTCGAGGACTCTGATACCCGTGAGTGGGGGCGGAATGCCCTGGTCATTAGATTGAGTAGAAATGAGAGAACGTCTGATGAGACGACTATCAAGACGGGCGACGGCGCTGAGTGCTCTATATTTCGACAATATCATCTCAGTTAAGTGGAAGAAACAGAGCGATTAATAGCAACGGTTGAGATAATGATTTTGAAACTTGCAAAAAATATTATCGTCCAGGTCCAACAGACAAAAGACTAGTGCTAATGCTAGTCTTACGTTGTGATCAAGGTGGCAGAAGTCCAAGTCCATTAATATTGTCGACAATGACACGGACATTACACCTGGCACCGCTTCTGCATCCGCAATGTGCTGATGGTACTGACAAGAAAACATATATAACAGAAAACAAAAACATATCAATTCATTTCGTCTAACGTTCATTACGGCTATTCACAACCAACCATGGGCTTCTTCTCGTCGCTCAGGACAGTAGACGAGTCCCAGTCACATAACCACAATGATAGTTCCGTGTCCATGTCAATGGTCCAGGTCATCCGTTCCCGATTTGTGCGTATTTCTATCCGTTCTCTTGATGAGACAGGCACTGACCATCATGGGGGCTGTGAATTCTGCAGTATGGAAAGTATAAAGGCAAGGGGCGCGAGACGCACCAACCTTCAATGATTAGGCACAGTGACCACAATACCCACCGTCTCAGCGCTGGGCGCTCTCCTCTCGGTACCGAGCAATTCTTACCACCACAACAAGATACTCCACGTACACATACAGACGTGATCACGTACGTCTTTCGTCAAGTGTAATTCACACTGCTCGCTCATGTTCTCCTGCTTACAGGACCACCCTTGCACAACGTCTCGATGAACTTGCTGCCGCAAATTCTCAGGGCTTACTTGAGTGAGTTCGTTTTGGCTCTTCAGACTGAGGACGTGACATGTGTGTTGTGGTAGCGATCATTGGACCCATTTGGGTTGACGCAATGTTTCCTCGCACCAAAATTGGTCTCCCATGTTCACGTCAAACCTCCCACTATGCTGATTCCGCTCACAGTGACGATGAATACCGTCTTCTCCGGCAAAACATCTTCGAACGGCTTGCTTCAGGTAGCTCAGTCCCACAGGAAGCTCCCCTTGTCCCCATTGTCTCACGCCCACCAAACGGTGAGCCTTACACTGTATTTCGAAGGGACTGATTTCCAACTTCGTTCTCTACGATTTACAGCCTATAACTTGGCTTCTGCCAAAAGTCCTTCACCATCTGTCCGCTCTAAATCCTCAATCTCCTCTGCCATGAGCACTCTCTTTAGGCGCTCTTCCCGAGTCTCAGCTCACACAAGTCTCACCGCAACAACAGACGACACGTCCATCTTCTCCGGTGGTACATCCCGACGGCCAATTCCGCCATCATACATGCGAAGCGATGTTTCTCTGACATCGGAGAACCTGTCGCATGCGGGTGACGTGCAGTATTTAAGTGCGAATATAAGTACCAGCAGTATCAATGTTGGTGGAAACAGGGAGCGAGGCAGCCCGTACCGGTCCCTCCGCCGCCTCCAAACAGGACCAGTTACCCCCCCGTCCTCCTTCCGTCTAAATAGCACAACCGGTTCGCCCTCCACACCCGTTCCCTCAACATCAACAACCTCACGCACATCCTCGCATTCTCCATCTCTCTCAGCATCTGCGAATACCGCCGATTCCGATAACCTATCCTCATCAGAGCTGAAGCGCCAAATTGCGACGCTTGAAGCTGAGGGCAGACGGTTACTTGATGCGTTCAATGGGCTTGAGCTCACTGCACTGACTCGACGTCATCCACCGCGAACGCCTTCTGTGCGCCGAGTCCGCGTTGGAACGGGAGGGAGCGATTATGGTAGTAGAGGTGGGGGAAGTGAATATGGTGGTAGAGGCGGGGGCAGTGAATATGGAGGCAGTGGATACCTAAGCACTGGGAGAGGCACACCCTGTGAGGCTGATACTCAATCCATGTACTCTGCGTCAGCAGCCTCCAGTGTTAGCCAACCGCGCTCCCAGCCGCAGTCATACCGGAATTCCTCGTTACGTGCTCCTCCATCAACATTATCTGCGTCAGCAAGGAAGCGTAGTATGTCATCTATATCGTCTCGCGCGCGCGTCCCCACAAACGGCTCGATGCATGCTTCGCACTCCCCGCCGGGACTCACCCCCAGCAAACTACGAGAACTAGGCAGTGTCTCTTCTGTTAACCTTGCACGAGACTCTTCCATCCACCTCCCATCGACTTTGCACAACTCGCCGGTGCGTGAAGTACCTGAGGACGATGCCTCTATCTCGGCGCTCGAGAGTGAGTTGAGTGATATTCGACGCCGGCGAGGAGAGGTAACTGCACGATATCAAACGCGGCTGGAGTATCTGCGGGCACAACTGCGGGGGGCAGAACTGAGGGAGAAGTTGATGAGGAAGTGAGAATAGGGGTCTCAGGTTTAGGCGTTTGTGGCGGCTCAGTCATTTGTAGCTGGGATATCATTATATACTTCCGTTCGACACTACTGTTCTTTATTATATGCGGATCATACTGGCAGTTTTTT